TATATATATATACATATTTAACAAAAGATTACTGAGCCAAAAATAAAGGCAACCCCTCATAATCAATATTGCGTTTGAAAATACTTTAGCGATTGCGAATCGCCAACAAGAGTGTGAGAATTAGTGTAACCATGTAACTGAAACATATTTGTGGTAAGAAAAAAATAATAAATGGTTATAAATAGATTTTTGTTTTCGATTAGGCGAGACAGTGAATGAATGAATGTATAGTAGTATAGAAATTAAAATTTTATCCGTTACATTGATCGATAAGGAAAGAACAAAATATTTTATGTTCGCTTTTTATAAAAATTAACTCACTGGTTTAATTTAAATATACTTCGATTCATAATGATTAAAAAAATAAGTTTAAGTAATTAAAGAAATTTTTAAAAGCTAGGATATATGGAATTGTGGCATCACAGTTATTTTGCAGACCGTTCGGAAAAAGAATTATTGCATTGATTATTGGAAATTGTTTACGTTGGAAATTTTCTATATTAAATGAAATATTGCGAAACAAATCAAAATTTTTGTCAGATTTTCGAAATCCGTTTCAAAAGTTACTTACAGATACAGGATTATTAACCCTTTCGTTGAAATGCGAAGTGTGCATCTCTGTATTCGGATTTAAGTGTTATATAACGATTGAGTGTTATAAAAAAATAACTTACAAGATAGCGTTAAAAATATATCGTTTAGTAGTACTTATCCAATATAAGTCACTAGAATAAGTGAAGGTACTGATTATTAAGAGTATCACTATTAAATATGTGCAGTCCCTGCCCAAAATATTAGACGCACTAAATTCGAAAACTCCTTCTATAAAACTAAAAATTCGAAAACTCCTTCGCAGCAAATTTTAAATGCAGAAATTAATTTCTATTGTTGAAGCTTTACTTTGTTATGTATATGTGTTGTTGACAAAATAATTTTAACTTCAGCTAGGAGAAAACCACTTCCAGAATTTAGAGTAAAAAGTTACGTTTATCAATTACTCAGATCATTGGATCATATTCATAGGTAAGCATGAATTTCTACAAAGATAAAATGAACATTTGTATTATGAGTGTGTTTTATGTTTTATAGCTAAGAATGTGTATTCACTCACTCGAGGTTTTTAATGAATAATTTCACTTGAAATAATGACAATCAGAAAGATGCTAACTTTTTTCTGGGTTGTTTCAGAGATGAGTAGTAATGAGGGCGTTCACTCCTTGTCACTCGTGACCGGAATAAGTGGTTCGAAAAATCGATATTTCAAACGGAACATCGTTAGAACCGTTTGAGATGTATCAGCTCATTTGAAAAGACTTCTGCAAAATGGTTTGTTAAATCAAAAAAAAAGAAGAAAAGTGTAAGCTTGATTAAAATCTTTATTGGCATTAAAAAATAGGAGGATGGTATTCGACTTGTTTTAATGGTTAATAAGTAAAAACTTTGACCAAATTAGCGCTAATATTTTGTTATCAAGAATGTGATAAATCCTCAAATGTTGAAATGATCTTGGACGAAAATTTAATTTTGACGAAATTTTTTCACACCTTGTCACATCAGCTCATCCTTATGTGTCCTAGTATCTTCTTTTATTTTTACGAATAGTCATTCGCTAAGGATACAGTCCCTTTGGCCAAATTATTAAACGCACTCTAAGATTCTATGCAAAATCTTAATTATCAGGTGACACTCTATACAGCTTTATTGTTTTTTATGAGACTGTTTGCACTTGCTTACGTTAGTGTATCAATTGCTTAAATGGGACGACATAGAATATAAATTTAACGATAGGATAAATTAGACGATATAAATATAATTATTAATGTGCAATTATTATATAATTATGTAGATTATTTATTTTATCAACCATTATATTAGTATATTACAATAATTAGACCAAATTATTAGACACACTGCTGTGTTTTGAAAATTACGTTTTTTGCACGAGTTTATAGGCAATACTTTGCGTGTAATGGGTTTTTATACGGAAGATTTTTTATATACTTCTTATTTGCATCAACTCTTAGGGTATTGCATTAAAATGTTAACGAATTGATACACGAACGCAAACAAGTTCAAACCTGTTTCAGCAACGTGAAAACAATAAAGCTGTATAGAGTATCACCAGATAATTAAGATTTTACATAGAATCTTAGAGTGCGTTTAATAATTTGGCCAGGGACTGTACAAAAGATTGTAGAAAAAAAGATACAAGAAAATAACTAATATTCGAGAATTAGTTCTGGAATTATGAACATACGTAGAGTTGAAATTTGACGTGCTGATTTTGAAATGTGTTGTTCCCTTCCATTGTACAATCAATGTTTCATGAGTGTACAGTGCGCACTCCATTTCAATGGTTCTCAGATATGCTAATTAATTAGTGCAGACGATATTTTAAGTTACGAAATCAGACAGTAAAGAGTACTTTCTCTATATGAACGTATACCTTTCTTTCCCAACAGATACAGATTTCTGACTTCCAAAATATAGGGGGATCCAGAGAATCGTCAGGAGAGCGATCCAAAGGTTGAACCTCCTAATGTTAAATTTATTTTTTCGACTTATATTCGTGAACTTTTTTAGACAATCGAACATTTTTTGCTCACAGCTATAAAATTTGTTATTCTGAAGAAAATTTCAAGAATAAAATCAATTTTAGAACCTATTTATTATTTTATTTAATAATAATCAGAAAAGGTTTGAATTGTAAAGGTATACAATTTTTTTACATTATTTAAAAAAATATCCAAATTTACGTGGAAAAAAATACGAAATTTGAGCGAAATGGGTTCAATAGTTCCTGTGAAATCCAAGTTTTAAATATACGACTTCTTTATAAAATTCGATTTCTCAGGAGTATAGTAAAGATAATAAATTGATTAATAAATTGATTAATTGATAATAAATTGATTAATTGATTGATTGAGTATAGTAAAGATAATAAATTGAATTTTATTTTAGACACGGAATCTTCCATAGGGATGTGAAGCCAGAGAATTTGTTGATAAGGGTAAGATATATTTATTAAATCTGTTAAAATTACAAGTTGAATTTTAGCTGTGCCGAAATGAAAACTTAAAGGAATTGTAAATGAATTTTTTTTAAAAATCTGTCTGAAGAGTATTTAAACAACTGAATAGTGTTCATTTCCTTCAGAGAAGATTGGGCACGTAATATGCTGCAATCGAAGCTTTTGTTTACGTACTATCAGGCCAAAAATGTCCGGAGAACCGGTTGTGGAGGAATAATGGTGTGGGGGTGTTTCTCCTGGTTTCGCCTGGGTCCGTTAGATCCTGTGGTTGGAAACATGAACTCTTGAGATGTACAGTCTCTGTCCAAATTCTTAGGCGCACTCTCAGATTCTATGTAATATCTTAATTATCAGGTGATACTCTATACAGCTTTATTGTTTTTGCTCGGATGCATTTGTTTACGCACCTGTATCGATGGGTTGACATTGTCATGCAATGCGTTAAAAATAAATACAAATAGGAAGTATATAAAAAATATCCTGAATGAAAATCCGTTACATGTATGTTTAAATATTAAAGTATTGCGTATAAACTCCTGCAAAACATGTCATAATTAAAACACTACTGCGCGTTTCATAATTTGGTCTAAATATTATAATATACTTATCTAATACTTGATATGATAAATATTCTACATTCATATAACATATCGTTTAATTTATCCTATCGTCAAATTTATACTATATATCAGGGATGGGCAAACTACGGCCCGCGGGCCAACTGTGGCCCGCCGGAAGGTTTTATCCGGCCCGCGGATATAATTTTAATTTGCCGATCAGTGGCAATATACATAAACAATATACATCCATTTTCTTGTCAACTATTTAAAATTATTTCTGTTTTTCCTTTTTTAACAAAGTACTGATGACCTTTTTACTTTCTCTATTTTTGTTCTACAAAACATAAATTGATGGAAATAGTTAGCACAGACGGCTTCAATTGGTAAAATGTTGAAAGCAGAAGTTCTTCATAGAATAGTCTTAGATTGGCTCTAACTAGCGTTTGTCTTTCTCGAGGAATCTAATATAGGTAAATTGTACTTCACATTTGGCAGACTACGCATTTTAAGATCCAACGAACGAACAATCTAACAATCATCTGGAGCAGTTGTTTCTAAATATGCCAAAGGTTTACAAATCATTACCAAATGCTAGTTTCCAAAATTTAATATTTCATGCCCAGAAAATCAGCTCTATGTTTGCTTAATCTTGTATATGTGAACAAGAGTTTTCAACTTTGAACCTTAGAAAGAATCATTTCAGAAGTGGACTAACAGAAAAGCATTTAGCCATGTTCCGTAAAATAGGCACATCTCGCTTCGAACCTTAATATAAGGAACTTTTAAAAACGAAATCGCAATTTCATTCATCTCACTAAATATTTAAATTAAAACCTGTATATCACTTTTTTTTTTAAATTTTGAAAGTTTTATTTGTCCCACCAAACATTTTTTTTCTCGATTTTTGGCCCTCGACCAAAAAAGTTTGATCAAAATAGTATCATCTTATAATTAAGATTTTACATAGAATCTTATACTGCGTCTATTAATTGGGCTGTATTTTGGAAGCTGATTTCCTAAATCCACTTGTGCAGAGCTTCAAAATATTTAATTTTCAGTACTTGCTGCAAAAATATTATGACCGAAAAAATAATAAAAGTACCTGAATAACTGTATTCTATTATTAAAATATTTCAATTGTTAGTGATATGTGACTGATATAGACGTGAAAAGTGGTTTAGCTTATTGCTTTTTACGCTGTACAAAATAGAAAATAGTTCTTTCAACAAGCAGAGGAACTAAAGTAGGGCATATTTTTCGCACACCCGCCGTTTCATAAACGCGAGGCAAAGAAAAATGGTCCCTAATGGATTAAAAATCGCTCCAGTTCTATTCGTCCTAGTTTTTGTGTGAGCGTTAGAACAAATTAACTCCGAACCTAAAGGGAATTGTGTGAGACACACAGACTCTTCACTTCATCGAATAGAAAAAAAGAAACGTGTCTCACATATTGGAGTGGATTTTTATACGAATGGACGCGCAATTGTGTTGAGCGCGTGACCTGTCGGGTGGAAAGTTGCATGGAGGGAAAAAATAAATGCATAGAATGTTTTTGTTCTTTTAATCCAGTAGTGGCTTAATCGTTTATGGTATCGGACCACTATCGGAAATACAGTCCCTGTGCCAAATTATTAGATGCAATATCAGATTCGATGTAAAATCTTAATTATCAGATGATACTATACAGCTTTATTGTTTTTATGTGATTGAAACCGGTTTGTAGTTGTTTACGTTAATGTATCAATGGGTTCAATTAGCCGATATACGATATAAATTTGACGATAGGATATATTAGAGAGACGATATATTATATAAATATAGAATATTTATTATATCAGGAATTATGTTAGAACATTATAATAATGAGATCTAATGATTAGACGCACTGCAGTTTTTTTTTTTTAATAATTTCATGTTTTGCACTACTTTATAGGCTTTATATTTAAACATATATGTAATGGGTTTTTATTCAGGACATTTTTAATATATTTCTTATATGTATTTATGTTTTAACGTATTGCATTACAATGTTAACCCATTGTTAAAGGAGCGTAAACAAAGGCAAATCTTTTTCATCCTAGTAAAAACAATAAAGCTGTATAGTAATCACCTGATCATTAAGATTTTACATAGAATCTTAGAGTGCAGTGGCGTACGCAAGGGAGGGGTTTAGGGGTTTAAACACCCCCCTTGAGCTCAGACAAAATGTCAAAAATAAAAATTTTAGTAGAAATTGTGCGAACTATTATTTTTTAAGACTATATAATTTTATTTGCCTTATGCCTACTTTTTTTTTCTCATGGTATTTCTCAGAATACTGAAAAAACATTTACTATAATAGGGTTGTACTTTTGAAACCAAATTCACGTGATACTGTTACGGACTGGTTCCTTTCTGTCCTGCCAGTATAGTTTTCGAGACTGGCTGTCATTCGCGAGGTCTTTACGCGATGATTCTGGAATCCTAGACGTTCTGTCGTCTTTGAGACAATTCGAGAATTTTGGAGATGCGGTGAAAAATTATATAAAAGGGGGAACGGAGTACAGTGGAGTTAGTTAGTCAGACTAAGAGTTATCTCTGCCGCTTGTCTTTCGGAGCTTGTCGCTAAATCTGTTTTGATTTATCTCAACAAAAAGTTCATTCAATCGCCGAACCCGTCGTCGCCACTATTTCGACTAGTGAAGAAATCAGTAACAATACCATTGGAGATACTGTGCTCGTTGAAGTTATTCATTCCAGCTCGAAACTTTGAGATCGTAGCATAGCGGATATTTCTGTGCCAATATATATATATATTTGCTGTTCTTGGATCTTTAGGATTTCAAAACGCAAGAATTTAACAATTTTTAATTATTTTGAGAAAAAATCACGACCTGAAATTAGTGAGGTGACAGCATCTAGTACCAATGTAAGTTTTTCTGTTGTACAGAAATGTGATACTTCCGTTGAAGAAAACGTTTCTAGCATAACAAAATCTGATGAATGTGAAAGTGGCCCTCAAAGTGTTACTTCCCACCCATATGACATTGGACTTTTTTCAGAAGATATTACATGCGAGAAGATATTACATTATGTTCTTAAACTTAAAAAATCAAATCAAAATTTAACTAACCAATGTTGTCTAAATAAAAAGTCAAAATTGTCCAGCTGTCTAAATTAGTGAAATAATAGTGCTTTATTACAGACTCGAATTTCTTTTAGTAGTTTCAGAAAATTATGAACACCCCCCTTAAAAAAATTCTGCGTGCGCCACTGTTATAGTGCGTCTAATAATTTGGTCAGGGACTGTATTCAAAAATTGAGATAATGAATACAAAATGGACACTTCTTCCATTTTATAAATTCACTTTTTCTGACGTAAAAATTTAAACGCAGAAAGTAAAAAAAAAAAAAAAAAAAAAAAAAAAAAAAAANAAAAAAAAAAAAAAAAAAAAAAAAAAAAAAAAAAAAAAAAAAAATTAGTTTAGACACATTTTCAAAATTATCAACAAAAAAAAAATAAATAAATAAAATACAAAACTTTCCTCAAAGAAAATAAGTTGAAATTTTCCGATCTTGGCATCGTTTTTTTTTTTCTTCTTTTTTTTATTCTGTTGAGTCTGTAGAAAAAAATCATTCCCTATTTATAGTTCATTCACGCGAACACGCGATAGACGGTTCCTTTCCCCAGTTGTTGAAACAACAACAAAGTAGAATAAATTCTTTTCTCACGTGATCACATGCTCAATATATTTTGGCGGTAAATTATTGATTATTTCGGCCTTCGTCTCATTTAATGGATCCCCACTAACCTTAGCTACGATTTGCAGTCAATTTTTGTTAAAATTTTTTATTATGTTTAAAGAGTTACACTAATGATCTCAAGTATTGCCACTTTCTACAGGCAAAGTTTGAATTATTTCAGTGAATGAACGCCAGGAATAAAATAACTCAAATCGTTTTCAAATTAAGAGTAGAATAAGAGAATCGTTTTCAAAATGATATCTTTTGGATTTTATTTACGTTGCCCCCAAATACTGAGTTACAATTCATTGAGTTTTTCTAGACATTTTATTTTTAGAAGTGTTGTTTTACTGGGGTTTTTTAACGAGGGCCACTCTGGAAGTGGTTTAACTTAAGCAAACGTTCGATTAATTGTCAGGAAATTGTCACTATACGCGCATCTATTTAAGTACGAATTATCACTTTCTGAAGTTATTTCCGATCCAAACTGATTCCTTCACGCATCGAATTCGTGACAAAAATTATTTCTCAACTTTGGTGAAATTCTTACGAACATGATGTTAGGAAAGAAATATTAGGCATTTTCACAAATATATATTTTGCATTTTCGAGATATTTTCATATTAATAATTGGGCAAAAAGAACGTTAGATTCTGGCTAAATCCGCCGGGGAAAGATAGTGCTATACCCGATAAGTAAGTAGCAATTCTGAGGCTATGGGAAATAGACCCAAGCGAACCGCGATGGCTCAGGGGATAGAGCATTTGCCTTCCAATGAGGCGAACCGGGTTCGAATTCCAATCGGTTCGAATTCAAACCAAAAATATCCTCAGTGGTAGACGGATCATGGGTTAGAGTCCCCTTGTCGTCAGGCCTTGCCTCTCCATGTAACGCAAATGAGGGTTAGCTCCAACAAAAAGTGCTCCACGAAGGCAAATTTCTCCTAATACTCGATCCAGAAGTTCCATTGTTTTCTGGATTGGGTTCAAAATGACAAGGCTACGGAGTTGAACATTAATAGTCGTAACCCCATAAAATTGGGTCGGCTGTTCAACGACGGTTATAAAATAAAATAGACCCAAGTGTTCGATATTTTTTCATTCAGTAATAATAAATATGTATTAAAAATTATTATTTTTTGTTTGAAACTAACTCGATATTTTTTTAAAAATAATTTTAATGAATTAGGGTAAACAGATTATTCGAATCGTTTCATAAAAAACGCAAAAATACCGTTCCTTTTTCCTTTTTTTCTCTTAACTATAAAAATTAATATTCTAAATTGCGTTTAGTTGAAATATTTTAAGGGTTAGAAAAGAACATTCGAAGAAAATCTTATTCAGCAAAATCGGCTGTAATACTTAATAATTAGGTTATATGTCGTACGTGATTAGAGTTACTTAGGTTGAATTGCGTCCTGGTCGACGTCCTACGCAATCTAGGATTAACATTATCCGCAGAAGCAAGTCATTACACGCTCCATATTTTATGTAGTCTATGGGTTGTCTCTGCTCAACTGTGATAAAGGAAAGCACAGGACAGCATTCATGGTTTAGTGAATACAATTTTTTTTATTGCAATCAATTATGTATTATTATTTTTCTTCATTTGAATTTGCAACTGACTCATAAATACTTAAGAGCTAAAAAGTAATCATCGTGCTCGAGTAATTTCCGCCTAAGTAATCTGGTACATTGTGTATCCAACACAAATTTATAATGCACCTTCAATCTTCCATCGATTCATAGCAGAATAATTAAAAGTAAAGAATTAAATTTTGGCACTAACACTTAAACGCATTGACCTATAATATTCATAGTAAATTCAAAGTCTTGGCATTACTATTTATTCTCCATAGCTATTAAGCTCATCTAGATAAAGAGCTCAACAAATAATTGACAGTGTAAAGCTAAGCACAGATGGCGCTGCGGGTTAAATCTGCAGTGTATCTACCACTACAAAAATACAATTCCAATTCACTAATATGTAAGACATGTTAACTCGATTCTATGATGGGGTACCTCTTCATAGATGAAGGTTAACATTGTCGATAAGAAATCTCTCATCACGGGTACCTTGACAGAAACTCCCACTTCAATTTAAACACGCCTACTTCGATGGATAATCCACATTGAACAGTTGTCTTGCCACTCGTGACATTGTCTTCCTCACGCTGTTGCTTCTCAGTCTCGATCACACACAACGTATACAACCTATAGCTAAAGACAACACAGGAGTGACTACTTAATACAGCTCTCGTTTTTCAGCAGAAAGTACGGTGATTTTAATACAGCTCTCTCGGCTTCTCACAAAACAGCCATGAATCCACTAATGGTATCTGTTCATCGAATTCTATCTCAGCTATAATTCTGGTGGGGGAGTACTGTAGTGTATCTACCACTACAAAATATGAAGGGGGACATTTTAATAGATGAAGGTTTTCATTCTCGATAACTCATAACCCCACAATAACTAAACAAATGAGGTACTTTTAGAATGGATCATATTTTATAATCATCGATTTTGCAAAAAGGTTTGCAATGAAAATCAATAGTAGATAAAGGTAGACAATAGTAAATAAAGATATTATGCAGTCTTATCGTACGATTGGCATAGTTCATAAGGCTATACAGTATTTTACTCTTTTTCGAACATTTTATTTATAGAGAAGTAATAAAATTTAACATCTTTGTAACTTCCACGTACTGTCTATTGAACGAAAGTTTTATTCCATAGGATAATCTTTTGAAATTAGGAGATTTTGGAAGTTGTCGGGGAATCAATACTAAAAGGCCTTATACAGAATATATCTCTACCAGGTGGTAAGTTATTGACATTTCACTCTCTGTTGTTTTGGAGAAAAAAGCGTTATTTTTTTGTTGACATCATTTGTTGTGTTTTTAATTTCCTTTCCGTTGTAATTTTCTGAGTCCCTTTTCAACCAGTCATTAAAATTTTTAAGGAATATTTACTAAAACATTTATTGATTATCTGAGGAGGGGATATTAAAGCCCGTTTTTGCATAGAAACAGATTCTGGAAAAAAAATAATAATTTAAGTGCTGCCATCTATTGGGAGCAAAGAAGGAGCAACTCAAATACGTCTCAACAATCAGACGTTCTTTTTTTATCACTTAACTTCTTCACGATATCCTAATTTTTAAGAAATGGGGTAAAATTTGTACAATATCGTGCTTTCAAATTTTTAAAAGTTTGATGTTCTAATAGTTCCGTTAAAAAAAAAAAAAACCTTGAATCTATTTTCGAGCTTATTTTACAATGAGTAGTCACAGGAGCAATATTGCAATGATAACGAAATTTTTCAAATTTACTTAACAGCATCCCTGATTATTCCGAGTTAACTCGGGTACGTACATATTGCAAATATTTGTCATCCCGAGAAAACTCGGGCATAGCAGAATGTGTCAGTGTTTTATCACGTTTTTATTCGGCCGGAAGCAAAAAACATAATCTGCTGTGATTGGAAGTTTTATGTGGGAGTTTTGATGTTGGACTGCTCACGTGTTTTGTGCTATTGTATATATACGATGGTTGCTGAATTTACATAGCTATAAGAGTAATAAAAAAATGGCGTATTCCTTCACTGACGTTTGAAAAGTATCACTTTGTGTTATCTTTTGTTTTAAGAACTATCCTACAAAGACTCATATTTAACTTTTTTCATTTGCCAGAGATAATTCGGGATAGTAAACGGATGGTAAATTAAATATTTCTTACTCATAAAAAAAAGCTAAAATTTCAACTTAGAACTTTGTGTGTTATGTTTTGTTTTAGTTCCTTGTATTTATTAATAAAAAAATTTTGATTTTTAGCATTTTTTTCAACAAAATTATTGGTAAGGGAAGATTTTCACCAACCTTTCCCAGAAAGTTCGCACAGGACGAAATTTGCGTCTGAAATTCGGACTCCGTAAACCACCCCCATTTGTAAGAGAAAGTTCGAAGCTCAGAGAGTCCGACAGCACTTTCCAGAAGCAATAAAGATGATTCGTTTGAATTATAGAAGCATTTTCCCCATTGTTTAAGGGACCTATATCACCTCCGCTAATCTGAGTAGGGTATGATCTGCTACCAGTTTCCGATGAAGCTCTCTTGATTTATGTATACTTTTTATTTATTTATTTATTTTAAACCGAAAACAGAAGGTTTTATGGTTCTATCAGAACATTTTGTTACCGATTGGAACAAAATTAGGGTGGTGATAATTAATTTCTAGGAATTTTTATGCTGTGGCTTTCAATTTCTTTTCACCCCCATTGTGGTCAGATATAAGAGGGAGAAAAAAAAAAGACTGTTTTCCTTAGAGGAGAGTAAATGATGTGAAAAAGGTGAACAATAAAAAAAAAGAAAAGAAAAACATTAAAAATCATTCATTTATAATTTTTTTTTCTCCCAAAGAATAAAAATTCGGAACGAAATTAATATAATTTGTTTCTTATTTTTTTTTTCAAGCAGGAAGTAATGAAATGTGAGGGCTCCATTAACAAAGAATGTAGACAAAGGTCCAAGGCAAAGTACCCGAGGTCCCGTAGTGCAAGTTCATTCCTGTCTCTATAGTTTGTCTAAAGTAAGAACTCCTCTAGCCATTCGTCTATGATATCGATGTATAACTACTTCAAGTAAGGGTGCGGGTTCACTGTTTAGAACAGGTTGGGGCTCAGGTCGACGAGAGAAAGGGAATCTTTTTCTTCTGTCTATTGTGTTAGCCCCAGAGGGAAGAGAAACTACCCTCCTTGAAATGGACTATTCTTTTTTCCATAGCAGCAGACGGCCTCAGACTTTGTGGCGGGGGAAGTTCTCACCGTTGACAAACTATAACTATGTAAACTATTTATTGAATGCGGTCATAATTTATTTCAGGTACCGGCCTCCTGAGTGTTTGCTTACTAGTGGTCACTACAGTTATAAAATGGACATGTGGGCAGCTGGATGCGTATTTTTTGAAGCCCTCACGTAAGCCCTTTATTTATTCATTTATTTATTTACTATCAGAACAAGTGCGGTAATGACGTGTCCATGTGTTTATCATTTTAGAAATCTTCCCTTGTTTCCCGGAAGTAGTGAAATCGATCAGCTGTCGAAGATACACAACGTTTTGGGCACGCCAAAATCTTCCATTATAGCCAAATTGCGTCGCCAGTAAGTGCATCATGATATAAATTCAACAGTATTATTAGTTATTATTATTTAATAACAGTTATTATTATTTTCCATTAATTTAATCAAAACGGAAAACTTTTGCAAATAAATATTAGGAATCTTTTTTTTTTAAAAAAAAGAAATGTTTCGAATAAAAAATAGTGATTGGAAAAAATTCATTAAATAATTCTTGTTGCACACTAAAAACTATAATTCTTTCAAAAATAATGCAGAAAATTAAAGAAAAATATGGCATTAAATTTAAACTTCTCAGTTAGCTAAACTTGAGGGATACCATTTTGACAGTCATATCATTCTTATAAGTCATTAAAAAAAAGTCTTTATTTGAGAAAAATTTTATTGACTGTGCAGATTTTCAGTACTTAAATTATTATCTGCACCAAGTTATTAAAATATTTAATGTAGAGTTATTGAGATTGCAAAACTATCTCAAGCGAAATTTGGTTAGTAGATCTTAAGTTATTCATGATGTTTTTTTTCTTGAAGACTATGTGTACCAAGTACTTACACATAGTCTTCAAGAGCAGTGAGCAAAATCGAATCGATTTCCTCAAATTAAGTGCCAACCCAAAAATTGGGTCGGCTGTTCAACGACGGTTATAAAATATAAAATAAAATTGCTCAAATTTTTGTAAACTAGAGCCATCTGTTGACAAACTTTATAACACATTGTAAAACTGAAGAAAATTAATACCTTGCACAGAAAAGCGTACAACATTATCTAATTCCGTTTTCCGTTAAATGATTTTTCAAATCATCACACATTTTCGAAACACTCTTTTAGCATTTGCAGCTGCAAGTAGGAAGTTTTCAAAATATTTAGAGTTTTTAAATATTCAATTAATTATTTCAGACTTCAAGAAACAAGTCTGATATTATATTCCCTATTTTAAAAACTGCATCTATAAGAAAAAAATACGGTATGCAAAGCAAATATATAAATCTGCAGTGGTAGATACTCCTCGCCCTACATTGTTGACTTTCGGACGTGATGTGAACAGGCCTACCTTGGCAGAAACGCCCACTACGATTTGAACACGCCTACATCGATGGATGGTTCACACTGAACAGTTGACTTGCTATTTGTGACGGCGACATTATCCATCTCCTCGTGCTGTAGTTTCAATCACACGCAACGAACAACGTATTCACTCAACTGCTAATGGCAACACAAGAGCGACCTCGACCGTGAACTTAGTACAGCTCTCGGTTTCTCACAAAACAGCAAAGAATCAACTAGTGGTATTCGTTCATCGAATTCTATCGCAGATATAATTCTGGTAAGGGAAATACAGTAGTGTGTGTACCAACACAAAAATACAATTCCAGTTCACTAGTATGTAAGACACTCGATTCTATGTTGGGGTTCATAAATGAAGGTTGACATTGTTGATTACTCCTCCCCCTACAAATCTACAGATATCAAATGGTAATAGAATTTATTTTTCCTTGAATAGCAAGCGCCTGAATGGTGTGAACTTCAGTTTCCAGTGTCAGTCGGGAATAGGAATAGCCATCCTTGCTCCAGGCACCTCACCCGATGCGATGCAGTTGTTGGCGAGTTTGTGTGCCTACGATGAAGAGGAAAGACCATCAGCACGACAAGCACTCAAGTTTCCTTATTTCTCGGATCTCAGGTGAGTAGTCTTCATTTAACTGTATCGACATATTTAATGAAATCCTTTTAATCACCAAATATAATTGGAGAAGTCGGATAAAGAGTGCCTGAATTTAATTATGGCACAGCAAGTTGAATAGCCCACACTATTTTTGGGTTTCCGACTACTAGTGTTCAGCTCCGTAGCCTTGTCATTTTGAACCCAATTCAGAAGACAAGGGAATTCATGGATCAAGTAATGGGAGAAATTTGTCTTCGTGGAGGATACTTTGATGGAACTCACCGCATATGCTTTACACGGAGAGGAAGATCACAAAAACCTCCCATGGTTAGCCTGACGGTAAAGGGACCCTCACGTCAGTATTGTGGTGGGTGTAAGCCGGATGCGAAATTCGTGTTGACTAGCCATCGCTGGCATTCGATCCCGGGTCACCTCCTTGGAAGGCGAATGTTCTATCCCCTGAGCCCCCGCGGCTTTAAATTAAAAAATTTTTGAGATGGATTTGTGTGGCTCAAACTACCGTTCAACCCCTTCGAAATGATTTTTATAAGAATTTATAAGCGATTCCTTACTGGGCGTTTATTGGCATCGCTCGGTGGCCCTGAACTTTCATTGTAAGGGACCGGGGTTTGCTCCCTAGTGGCCACTTTAAGACCCACCAATCTTCAGATCCAGGAGTTTCCTTGTCTTCTGGATTGTTTTAAAATTACAAAGCTACATTAGTAGTCGTAAACCCAAAATTGAGTTGGTTGTTCAACGACGGTTATAAAATAAAATAATAAACTAGAGCCGTCAACTAGTCAAACTAGGCACAGGGTATAGAGCGTTCGCCTTCCAATGAGGTGAACCGGGTTCGAATCCCAGTCGATACGAATTCCGCATTCGGCTTGCACCGACCACAGTGCTGACGTGAAATATCCTCAGTGGTAGACGGATCATGGGTTAGAGTCTCCTTGCCGTCAGGCTGACCGTGGGAGGTTTTTGTGATATTTCCTCTCCGTCTAACGCAAATGCCAGTTAGTTCTATTATAAAAAGTCCTCCACGAAGACAAATTTCTCCCAATACTCGATCCAGGAGTTCCCTTGTTTTCTGGATTGGGTTCAAAATTACAAGACTACACAGTTGAACATTAGTAGCCATAAGACCATAAAATTGGGTCAGCTGTTCAGCGACGTTTATAAAATATAAAATACAAAAAATCTTCAGATCAATATGTATCTGAGAAGTAAGGGTGGTCAGTCGGTCAAGAAGTTGTGATGCCTTCTTGCGTTTTTTTTAATTGTTTATAGTTTTGATGACTGTTGTGCAAACATTTTCAGACTGGCTGAGAAGTATCATCTGTCTGGACGTCTTTCATCGAGGAATACCGGAAAGAGGACGTCCTCTGATTCCTCTAACTTGTCCCCAAGGAGTGAGAATGTATCAAGAGTCGATGATATCTCTAATCCAGTCACACGAGAAAGAAAGGTGATTCTCTCATACTACTCGTGTTATTTTCATTGCTTGTTCGTCAAAGCAACCATTTCGTAGTAACGATTGCTTAACAAAGAATAACTCTGAACATTAAAAAAGAAAAACAATAGAAATATGACTAGGTTATCAAGTTAGTAGAAAAATCATTAAATTATGATTTAAGAATATATCTATTTCAATGCAAATAAAGTTTCATAATTAGGGAATTGCTCCTAGTGACCTACTAGGTTGCTACGTCTAGGACAGGACGTAAAACTTATGCTCTAAATTTACTAGCCAGACGAAAATTTTTGTTCGCCACCTTTTTCACGAAATATATGAACAGTTTTTAAAATATTGACAAGCGTTGAGTATTGTTCCAATATGCAATCTATCTGTGTAGTTACTTTACAGGTCAATAGGTGGCGCTATTGCATAGTATGGTAGAGTATACAGGAAAGCGTTACTTTAAGGTTGTTTTTCGAAGGCTTCGTCGGCATATGATTTTTTTGCGAATAATATGCTATTTTCATAAAGGCTGTGAGTGCGCAACAGTTACTCATGGCTGTTAGGACAAGTTTAGTCTAGGCTAGTGTTGTCTATGCTTGTATTGAAAATGGCGCTATTTTGAGAATAGACAATTTCGTGGAAATGAAAATGGTCTATTTCACTCCAATGCTGCATTATCTGGGCTCATATAAATTTGCGAAAATTGAGAGCGATTTTGATAATTCTTCATCTAGGTGGAAAAATGTCGCCAAATTGTTGATTTTTAAGAAAGTTAAATAACTAATAAATAATATTTAAGTTATTCGTCTGTCCTGAAGCCCAGATAATTCTTCCCGGCAAGATGTTTTAAGATCATCAGTTGCTTTTGCTTGGCGACAGAGTTTCGGAAAACCAAGTTTAAAAATATTAGTGCATAGCCACGTAGTGGCATTTAACCTTAAAACATCAGTGTTGGGTATGTCCGCAGTGCCACTAAAAGAGCATGTCTAAAAAAAACACCCAACCATTAAAAAATAATTAAATGAATGCCTATTACACTGGCCGATCGTGTATAACCGAATTTTTTTTTTAAAAGTTAAGTTACAATGCTCGGTAAACTCTGCGCTGAGGTTTTTAATTTCAAGGCCTGGTATACCCTAAGATACTATACTGTAGTAGCGCCACCTATTGATCCATAAAGTAAATATAAAGGAATGAAATTCAATTCCAGTAAACTTTTGAATCTATTGGATTTTGTTTCATGACCAAATTGTAAATAATTTACAAATTTGTAAAAATATTTTATAACTTTAATTTTGAACTATTATTCAAAGCTTGTGGGTCTCAGGTGGTCTAGAAAAAGTCAAATAAAACTTGAAAACAAAAATTTTAAAATTTTTAATGATAATAACAGTAATAACGGAATGCTAATCGATAGGCAACTGTAAAAAATTTCAATTGTTTTCTTCTAAAGAAGTGTAAAAATATCAGTTGTGTGCCACAACTAATTCTTTTTCTAACTGATTCGAAAAGGAAACGTTGCATTAAAACAAATTAACACAATTTCTGATCGATTCATATTATAATTTATCAAGAATTCATGTCGGGAAAATGTTAAATTGTAACAACAATATCCCTTTTTAATACAGACTGTGGTGACCTGCCTACTACAACTCAACGCTGCCAGTCTGGTATCCCATAGCAACGAAGAACACGAAAGAGAAACTAATGTTTTCTTTTTGCTTTTTGATAATTCTCCTGTTTCTCAATATGCACTTTATTATTATTATTTAAGGATGTTTAATATATTATATTTTATAATAAGAAGTTCGTCTACTTATTTATCACAAAAAGTATACCTCCACAAACTGGTGACCTCGGATTTATTATGAATCGCAACCTGCAATGTTGTACGAATATGGAGTTCATATGCCAAAATCCTGAGCAACAATAAGTTGTCAAGCTTGATGAAATGAAAGTAAGGCATTTTACCTGTGATTTAAAGTAGTTTGCCTCAGTCCAGTGAGTCAACATATTTCGGTTAGAATTTTATCGGATCTTATTTATTGAATAATTAATTTTATCTGGTGTGTTGAATCTGAATCGCCAATTTCTCTGATTTAAAGTACCCAAAAGCTGTGTCGCTATATACGTATATTGATTATTTTTCTGTGTTATTGTGTATATTTGACTGATCTAAAATGGTTGACAACAATGCTTCTTCACAATTGGCGCGAGTTGCAGTTAAGCCTCCGCCATTTTGTCGCCAAGACCCATCGTTATGGTTCATTCAACTGGATGCGCAGTTTAAATTGAGCCACATTACTGCTGACGAAACTCAGTTTTATACAGCGATCGCCGCTTTAGAATCAGAAGTACTTCAATCAGTTCGTGAAATTATCTTGAGTCCACCGGCGACGGAAAAATACAAATCGTTGAAAGAAAAATTAATTTCTGTTTATGCGGAATCCGAGACAGTTAAAATCAAGCAACTGTTGCAAGATTTACAGTTGGGTGATATGAGGCCTTCTCAATTGTTGTCTAAAATGTCAGACTTATCAGCCGGTAACCTAACGGACAATATTCTTAAAACATTATGGATGAATAGACTCCCATCAAATATGCAAGCCATTTTAGCGGCCAGTAGTGAGCCTCTTACGAAGCTGTCCGAAATCGCTGATAAAATACACGAGGTGGTCATGCCAACGCAAATACATGCAGTTCAGACTCCTGATCAAGGTATTGTGGCATTACAGGCTCAAATTAATGAATTATCTAAACAGGTCTCTCAATTAGTAGCCATTCAAGCTGAACCCTTTCAGCGTCACCGCTCTCCATCACGTGGTCGATATGCACGACGTAGCACTTCGAGGAAACGTTATGAAAGCCCTCCTCCGGGTATTTGTTTTTACCACCACAATTTTGGAGACAAGGCAAACAAATGTCGCCAACCGTGCCGTTATAACAACCAGGGAAACGAGACGGGCCGTCGCTAAAAGTCGTGAACGACAGCGGCCGGAATATTGCACGCCTTTTCGTCATCGATAAGAATTCCGGTTTAAAGTTTCTTGTAGACACCGGTGCTGATGTTTCTGTCGTGCCACCACATTTTCATGAACAAAAGTGCCTCACCAAATTACAACTTTATGCAGCAAATGGAACTCCCATACAAACTTTTGGTGAACGCCTGATATCTATTGACTTAGGATTGCGCCGCAAATTCCAATGGCCATTCATTGTTGCCTCCGTTTCAAGTCCTATTATTGGTGCTGACTTTTTGCAAAAATTTTCTTTACTTGTCGATCTTAAAAATCACCGTTTAGTAGATTCTTCAACGAACTTAACTTACCCGGGAGAAATTCGCAATAGTCGAGATATAAACATTAAACTGATTTCGGATACTTCTACATGGCATCAACTTCTCAGAGAATTTCCTACAATCACGCGCCCAGTTATGGGTAATTTACAACCCAAGCACGATGTACTACATTATATTGAAACTACCGGACCTCCAATTTGTTCTAAACCAAGACGTTTACCTCCAGACAAGCTTAAAGCCGCCAAAGATGAATTTCAATACATGATGGAACAGGGAATTTGCCGCCCATCGAAAAGTTCATGGGCCAGTCCGCTCCATCTAGTTCGGAAACGAAATGGTAACTGGCGCCCGTGCGGGGATTATCGCCGGTTAAATGCAGCTACAATTCCTGATCGTTACCCAGTCCCTCACATTCAAGACTGTATGCAAGTCTTAGAAGGAAAAACTATTTTTACAACTGTTGATCTTGAGCGGGCGTACCACCAAGTACCCGTTAATCCAGCTGATATTCCAAAAACTGCAGTTATAACGCCTTTCGGACTATTTGAATTTCCGGTCATGACTTTCGGCTTATGCAATGCTGCTCAAACGTTCCAACGCTTCATTAATCAGGTGCTATTCGGTCTGGACTTTTGTGTACCTTATTTTGATGACGTCTTAATCGCCTCCTCTTCAGAACAAGAACACTTATCCCATTTAAGAACTATTTTTGAACGGTTTCAGAGTTACGGAGTCAGTCTCAATCCTTCCAAATGTGTTTTTGGCCAACAAAAGGTATCCTTTCTTGGCCATGAAATTTCCGCTGATGGCGTTCGACCCCTTTCAGATAGAGTCACCGCTATCCGCGAGAAGCCCAAACCAGATACAGCACATACGATCGCGAATTATTAGGAATCTATGAAGCTGTAAAGCATTTTCGACATATGCTAGAAGGACGCATTTTCATGATCTTCACTGATCACAAACCATTAACTTATGCTTTTCAACAGCGTTCGGATAAAGCCTCCCCTCGTCAAATGAGACACCTTGACTTCATAAGCCAGTTTTCAACGGATATCCGTTATGTGGAGGGTTCACAGAATATCGTAGCAGACACCTTGTCTCGTATCGAAGAATTAGCCATTCCATCGCCAATTGACTTTGCTGCCCTTGCAGATGAACAATATCAGGACACAGAACTACAAACCCTCTTGAAAAACAAATCTACCAACAATCTCAACTTGCAACCTATGCAGCTAACACCTGGAAAATCACTTTATTGTGATGTTCAGGATTCGAGAATTCGACCTTATGTTCCCCCTGGGTTTCGACACGCCGTTTTTAGTCAATTGCATCATCTTTCACATCCTGGCATCAAAGCTTCAAGGAAACTGATACAACAACGTTTCGTGTGGCCTAGTATGCAAAAGGACATAGCTAGCTGGACACGCTCATGCTTGGAGTGCCAACGATCTAAAATTGTCAGACACACCACCAGCCCACTTAAAAATTTTAATTTGCCATCATCTCGGTTCAATCACGTGCATCTCGACTTGGTCGGACCATTGCCGCCTTCTAATGGATATTCATATCTCCTTACTTGCATTGACCGATTTACTCGCTGGCCCGAAGCCGTTCCTTTAGTGGATATTTCAGCTAGTACCGTGGCAAATGCTTTTTACACTGTTTGGATCTCTCGATTTGGAGTTCCGGAACAGATTTCTACTGACCAGGGGCGTCAGTTCGAATCCCAACTGTTCACGTCGCTAGCTAAGTATTTAGGCACTTACAAAGTGAGAACCAGTCCGTACCATCCAAGTTCCAATGGAATTGTCGAGAGATTTCACCGCTCTTTAAAACAATCAATTCGATGCCACACTGCAATACAGTGGACTGAGGTGTTACCTACCGTACTTCTAGGTCTTCGATCAGCGTTGAAAGAGGATCTGAATGCCTCTTCTGCCGAACTGGTATATGATACTGCTCTCCGTTTGCCAGGGGATTTCGTACAGTCAGTCAATCCATCTGACTGTAATGATGCTCCTACATTCGTGCATCAACTTAGAAACTGCATGTCAAAATTACGACCAGTTCCTACCAGCGCTCATTGCAAACAAACAGTCTTCGTACACAAAGAACTAAGAAACTCATCTCATGTTTTTCTCAGATCTGATGCTCCAAAGCCTTCTCTTGCACCAAAATTTTCAGGACCACATCAAGTACTAGCTCGATACGAAAAAACATTCAAAATCTTAGTAAACGAAAAAGAAGTTATTGTTAATATCGATCGCCTTAAACCGGCATTCATCTGGAAACCTGAAGCCCCTGTACCACATGCGTCATCAACATCGACTGAAACCACGACGTCTGATTTAACAAATGCTACGACAACAACGCGCTCGGGACGTCGAGTACGCTTCAATCCGAAGTATTTGTAAGAAAGGTATCGTTAGCACTGGAGGGGGAGTACTGTGGTGACCTGCCTACTACAACTCAACGCTGCCAGTCTGGTATCCCATAGCAACGAAGAACACGAAAGAGAAACTAATGTTTTCTTTTTGCTTTTTGATAATTCTCCTGTTTCTCAATATGCACTTTATTATTATTATTTAAGGATGTTTAATATATTATATTTTATAATAAGAAGTTCGTCTACTTATTTATCACAAAAAGTATACCTCCACACAGACTGTGACTTAAAAAAAAACAATTCATATTGCAGAAACAACGCTCAGAACAATTACTACCAACACTCGAAATAAACGGTCTGCGACAGGATCTTCATGGAAACCGTCGACTGGCCATCGAAGTCCTCAAATCAAATAGATCCGTCAACCTACCTCCTATTCCATTGAAATCAAGGAAAAAGAAGGTTTGTACATCTTTTTATACAGTCCCTAGACAAATTATTAGACGTGCACTCTAGGATTCTATGTCAAATCTTAATTATCAGGTGATACTATACAGCTGTATTGTTTTGACGCGACTGGTTTGCACTTGTTTACGTTCCTGTAACAATGGGTTAACATTGTAATGCAATACGTTAAAACATAAATACTAATAGGAAGTATATTAAAAAAATATCCTGAATACAAACCCAAGGCTTTCATTTTTACTCTAAATTACATTAGAATGACGCCACTTTCTTGCAAGTTTTCGAATTAAATTGTTTATTTAGGGTTTGTAGGGAGATATTTAGCCTCATTATACATACGAGGGTTGTAAATTAAATAGTGGCAACTTAACCTTTAAACTCACAGAAGGGTGGGCATTTGCAAATAGGATATGGGAACGGTGAAGTAGAGCTGTTGTCGATGTGTAGAGTGCAGAAAACAGTCGACCTGCTGCTTAGAAGGGTAGTTGTTCTGTGGCGTTAAAGTGAGGAGTTTCGTTTCCATCGCTCTAAAGCATGTTTTCAAAAGGTGATCAGCGGTCGTCGCTTAAAATCGAGGTTGCCCGTGGCAAAAATGCAACAGAATGCTATCGAGGATTAGTGGAAATATGTGACGCAAATGCTTTACCGTATAGAACAATAGCACGATGGGTTTAAGCATCTCGTCTTTTTTCGTCATTAAGCCTTTTGAAAACATGCTTTAGAGCGATGGAAACGAAACTCCTCACTTTAACGCCACACAGCAACTACCCTTTTAAGCAGATCGACTGTATTTTGCACTCGACACATCGACAACAGCACCACCTCACCTCTCTCATATCCTATTTGCAAATGCCTACCCTTCTGTGAGTTTCAAGGTTAAGTTGCCACTATTTAATTTACAACCCTCGTAGATAACAAGAAAATTGACTAGAACCTAAAGTAGCTATTAAGTCCCCCACCCCACCAATGGTCAGACGAAATATCGTTCTGTACAATTTTATTGATTTTCCGATAATTCTATATACATCATGCCGAATACCGTTTTCTGATTGTTAACTTTGTCATCTAGCTGCGAAAAATTCACGTCCTTGCTGGCATTAGGGCGGAATTCAACTAAATTTACGCAATTACATGACTCACTTAAGTCAATCAGAAGCTTGTATTTTTGTAAACATATCGCATTTTGCGATGTGTAAAAATACATTATATGTAATTATATGTACAAATTATATGTAATTTATTTTCCTTCACTTTTACCAGCGAATCTAATTTCATACAGCTTAAGGGTTGCAAAGCAAACTTGTTATTAATTAGTAAAATATTGTTTTTTTTCTTTCTTTCTTTAGGAAAACCGGAATCACAGACATGAACTTACTTCTCACCTGCCACCTATCAATCAACCATGGAGGCCATAAAGATGTCACTTTATATAGGTGCCTCCATAACCATTTTGAGGGTCTTTGAAAACATTTTATGTAGTTTTAAAAACAGTCAATTAGATATTTTGGATTATTTAAGGGGTCCTTTTTTAACATTTACGGGGAATCATTTTTGAACTTTTTTTTCTGCTGGGGATATTTCTGTAGTTGAATTTATTAATGTTTTACTTGGAAAATACAAAAATTACGAAAAGTAACAAAAAAGATAAAAGTATTTACAACTTGTAGTTTAGTTTGCGGGGAAATAGAGTTTTTTGTGCAGCGGATTAGGTCTCAAAATAATTTTTTTTTCCGATGGGGTGTTTTTAGAGGGAGTTATTTTTAATAGCCATGTCCATTATATCTTCCATTCAAAATTTACATATTAAAAGAAGTAACCAGTACATTTGTTGAACTAAAACATATATTTTTATTTTTTCCTTGGGCGAGGAGAGGGCAATTTTTTTTAAAACTTTTTTGGTGCGGTTATTATTTTGATCATTTTTATTACACATCTTTTTTACATTCGAAAAAAAATGTTAGAGTTTTAAAGGGTTTTTATGCAACATTTTGTGATTGCATTGTTAAAGAAGCAGCTCTTCAATTTTGGTAGAAGAATAAATTCCAGCTTACAAACAATTGGATAATAATGACGACGGAAAAGCTCTTAATGGATGGTTGACCGTTTTAAAGGCAGATGGCGCTAGGGGTTAAAATGAAGAACCGAACTTTATGGAGGTATTTAAATTTTTCACCTCATTATACATAATAACAAGAAAGTTGACTAGAGCCTAAATTAGCTATAATCCTTCAATGGTCAGATGAAATATCACTCTGTCCATTTCATTGATTTTCTGACAATTCTACGTACATCATGCCGAACGCAGTTTTCTGATTGTCATCTAACTGCGAAAAATTCATATCCTTGCTGACATTAGGGGGGAATTCAGCTAAATTTCCACAATGACGATGGCTTACTTAAGCCAATCAGAAGCTTATATTTTTGTAAACCTATCGCATTTTGCGATGTGTAAAAATACAGGCTTTGGATTGGCCAAATGTGTCTATCGTCAATGCAAAAATTTAGCCGAATTCCGCCCTAGAAAGCCATGGATTTACGAAATACAGAATTTTTGTATTTAGACGATAGATTAATGAAGATGCTGACAGAAAAATGACGGATTTTACATTGTACTGATATTTTCTTTAAAAAAAAGTTCATTAAAGAAGGAAATGAGAAATAAACTTTCAATTCGATTTTTGGGCCCCTCTCATTTGGCCCCCGGTGCCCCTGCCTATGTCAGGCTCTAATTCTACTTGTAGTCTTTTCAATATAGCGCGTTCTTTAGATCTAATTTTCAACGACTTTCAACAAATGAATTCGGTAGACTCCGAAAGCATGCTGCGATGCTATCCAGAAAATAGCAAGCGTGCTATTTTACACAAATATAGTCAAATAAGGGATAACACTCAAAACATGGCTAACCTTACACTTTATTTATGGTGCGATATTAATTTTGTTAAGGCAGAGGGGTGCCATTGTTATTGTTTTCCAGTGGCGCCATCTATGGCCAAGAATTCGACTTTTGCACACCCATACGTCATACCCGTTTATAGGGCGGACCCATTCATACATCCTCTCATTCATCCACAGATCATAATTTTGACCTGAATCAGAGAACGATCGATCTCCAATCCAGTACCCCAAGAGGTATTGATTTGTTATGGGAACATGGAGGACTTTGCGACTCAACATATTTAACGTGTATCAGTCACCATTTACTACACGGGAAGTCTTCGGTCGGCGGGGTTCGAACTCACGAACTCTCGGACATGGGCCCAGTGCCCTACCGACCAGGCTCTCCCGTATTAATTTTGTTAAATTTGTTTTTTAGGGTCACGTCCCGTTAGAATTTATGAATTAGAGAAAACTCTTATGGATGGTAAAATTACTCAAATCACAATAATACAACTGCCTAGAATATTAAGCCTCTTCACACATCACCTCGTAAGCATACCATAAGTGGAGGGATACACTGGAAGTTTTCTGAATTTCTTCCGGTTTTAGAAAGCTTTTTACTGTTTACATTCAGTCAACCATCCATAGGGGGGCAAAAGGAAAATATTTTCCTGTATGTAAGGGGGGAGGGAGAGGAGAGAGATCCTTGGATTTTGAAAAGTTTTATACGAACCCTCTTGTTTCACATTTTTATCTTTATTTTATCAACTACTAACAACATAATCTGTCACAAATTGTTCAGCGAAAAGTGCTCTAAGGAAAGTTAAAATTATATTTTTAAAATTCATCATGTTTGAAAATTGGTATTTTCATAGGTAAATGAAGAAAAAAAAAAGGGGGGGAAAGCCCGAAAAGAAGTAAAAGAAAATGAAAGGCTAGGAAAAAAACACAGAAAAAGAGCAACGCAACGTTAAATTTGAGCGTGGATTAATTAAATAATGAATATCATCTTATTATTTATTTATATACAAAAAGTTTGCGAAAATACTATTTAGCATTTCATATTTTTTTAACACTTTTATTTCATACTCATACATGATTTTAAATTATTTTTTTTTTAAAATATCAATATTAGCATTTATTGTATTGTGATAGGATAATCATATAAGAATGATACTAATTTTTTTTCTTTTTTCAAAAACTGTATTTTCTGATAAAATATTTCATCATTTTTGTAAATATTTTGAACTTATAATTAGATAGACATCCAGAGATGGATACGATATATATATGCTATATATAATGGATGTATAATAGATGAAAATATACCATCGAATGAGATGTAGAAAAAAAATATAAAATTTTTAATTTCAAAGAAAAAATTTTTTAAATTTTTTTTTCACTTTAAATAAATTCTTGAGTATAAAATAATTTTTTAAGAAGATAAGAAAATACAGCTATAAATTATTATTATGTAAATACATTAAAAGTGACTACTAGTGAAAATAAAAAGAAAAACAGCAGCGGTCGCCATAGCAACGCATGCGCACTGTTTACTATTACTCTTGAACATAGTTGAAAAGTGTGTAAACACCATCAAATCCAAACCAAGTCCCATGTCCCTTACAGCATATCAAATTTCCACTTTGTCATCGAATTCGTGTTGTCTGTAGATCACCCGTATGGTATTTTTTTTCCTCACAAGTTTAACAGTTAATCATTCTCGAACTAGTTATCGAATGTTAATTTCTTTTATTCCTTTGCACTTTCTACACACCTTTGTTATTTCAAGTTTCGGAGTTTTTCTAGTTTTTACGTTGCAAAGCAAAACTGTTAAAACCCAAAACATAGGCGGCGATTTTTTAATATATTATAGGTAATAGTGTCACCAAGTTCAGCAAAAAATGAGAGTTTCTTCTTTAGAATATATATATATATATATATATATATATATATATAAAGTTTTTTTTCTTTTTTTGATAAAAAGCTTTGTTATGTCATTATACCTGAGAACTGTGAGCTTTTTTAGGGCATTTTTTCCAGGAAGTCAAAAGAGGCATATTTTTTCACGTTGAATTGATAAAGACGATCGAACTAATAGTTTACAAGTTATAAAGATTTTCTGCAAAACAAGTTTAATTCAACAAAATAAATAAACGCATTTGATTGGTTGCATTCGATTCAATCAGACCTATCTCGTTACAAAATCCCCTCAAAGATAAGTAACAAATGTGAAAAAATTATCTTAGCCATTCATTTCTACGAAGACTTAAAAATTGTCTAATTATTGAATTGCATTACTACGTATTTTACTGATTGCAGTGTGAAAAATATTCATATCAGAAAACTTTAGATTTTGATATTTTTTAAGCATTTTACCTCTTGTCCCTAAATTGTAAAGATTTTTAGACATTTTTTTTTTATTCAATCATATAATTTTCTGGGAGATTTTTTTCAAAAGTTATTCTAGATACATTCATTAATGAACCATGACTGACAATTTGGAGATTTCCTTTACATATCGTTGATAAAAATTATTTTCAAGCCATATGCTAAATAGTAGTGCACAAACTCTAAGCTTTATTGCGTCAATAAATTTGTAAACCTATTGTTTTGAAAGTGCTTTCTCGTAAAACGCAATGGATTTTTTAGCATCTTTATGATGAAATGGCTAATTTAATCATTTGTGTCTTGAAGAGAAAATTGACAATAAAATCCAAAATCATTCAATATGCATGGCATTGCTCTTATCGATATTAAACAGTAAGACAAGATTACATTTATCAGTAATATTTATTATAGATAAGTAACTAAGTAATAAGTAGTTTAAATAAGTTTTTCTTGCTATAGCTCGTTCACCAGGCGTTGGCACTTGGCTCCGCCTTCATCACGGAGTATCCGACTATATTATTTCGCTATATTAGGAAGAAGGATATGAACAATCCTGAACAAGGTTGCTATTTGGCGATCGTGCGACTAAAATATATGTATTTCGTATTCTTAATGTACATTTTTTTAACATTAAATATTTCAGGAATTTGATGATATTTCTTTCTTTTGAGTGAATAGTTTATCCATTTTCAGACATTTTGCTGCCATATACTTAATTAGCTAGAGTTTCGAAAGACAGATGATAAAGCGAATATGATAGCAGATGATAAAGCGAAATAAGTGACTGAAAAAGAATTCACTGTTTGCTTTTGGCGCGCATTAAGGGTTGTCTCAATTTAAGGCGCGGAGACGTTTTTCCTCTTACTCCCGCTTACTCTTTATCTTCGACCAAGGAGGTGGAGCCAAGTGCCAACTCCTGGTGACTCCTATATTCCACCCTTTAGCACTAAAATCAAAAGGTTTGTAGGAACTGTTTCTTAGTATTGTTTCAAAATATATATTTAAAAAGTCTTCGGCAATCTGCCAAAGCATTTTATAGCTTGCAGGGTGATTTTCTCACCATCATTTCTCTTCTCTGAACAATTTGTGACTTTTCTAAACTTTTAAATCACAATTAAATTTGTATATATTGTTTTTTCTTTTCTTTTGACAATGATTCTCAAATTTGTAAATTTTGATAAAATAAAAGATTCCAATAAAGTATTCTGAATTCTTTAATTTTTTAAAATTTTCCCATAAGTCGCACAGACGGATTCAATTATTTTTTTACACTTTTTCAAAGATTTAAAAAAAAATTGTTTCAGCTATAAATTCGGAAATCAACTTCAATATAACACATTTCAGCGAATAGAATGAGACTTTCAAAAAATGTTAATTAATTGGTGAATAAGTTGATTTCGGACACATAATCCTCCGTAGGAGTGAAATCCCTTTTTATGTTTGAGTACATATGTTTAATACAATTACCTGGTTTTATATCATTATTGCATAAATAATTTATTAATTGCGCAAAATTTTAATTCCAAATTTCACACAATTCCTAAAAAATGCAATTTTTTTCTCTTCAAATTGTAGCATTATACACAGTTTGAAATTTTAGAGCGTGTTGAAAAATAACATCGTGTAGATTTTCATCAACTTTCTAGTAGTTTGAACAATATTATCGTGAAAATCCATTGACCTTAACTTAACATTATGCTTGATAATCGAAAAAAAACTTCAATTACTTCAAAAATTACGATAGAAAAACTCAACGTGTTTGTAGCATTCAAAAATAAGATTCATATTCCCAAGAACCACTCCAGTACGTAAATTAAAGCAACGAAAAAAAAAAAGGAGAAAAAAAAAACACGCAGGATAGCCGAGGGAAACGACGATTGCCGAAAGAGGCAAAATCAGGGCAAGATGCATCTTTTTAGCGATATGAAGGCTCCGTTAAGGAACTGGAAAATCGTTATTCAATCGTCGGATGTGAAAGATTCCAGAACATCAAGGTAAGCTGATGAGAAAAGGGTGATGCATATATTACAAATATTTATTACCCCGAGTATACTCGGGCATAGCTAAATTCGGCGATACGTGTCGTTTTATCACATTTTTACTCGGCCGGCAGCAAAACAAAAAATTATGATAATCTGCTGTGATTTGGAAGTTTGCCAGTTTTTGTTTGGGAGGTTTGCTATGTGGGGGGACTGCAGACGATGTTTTGTGCAATTGTATATACGATGGTTGATTTATAAACATAGAAAAGAAGAGTTAAAAAAAATGGTATTCGCGAGCGAAACTGAGAGTAATGCAGGTGATTTTTCAGATGATGAAGATGTGAATATATACAAAGACTCATATTTAATTTTTTTCATTTGCCCGAGATCATTTGGGATAGTAAACTGATGGTAAATTATGTACTTTTTACACATAAAAAAATTAAAAATTCAACTTAGAACGTGTGTATTATGTTTTGTTTTAGTTCCTTGCACTTATTATTAAATAAAAAAATATGTTGATTTTTGCATTTTTTCTCTTCGAAAAAATAGATAAGGGAAGCGGTTAATATGTTTTGGATTTCTCATTCATGGGTCTTGAGAATGGGCGCCTTATTTATGAGTGCTCAAAACACGATGCTTTTTTTTCCTCCCTTAATAACTTTTGATGTTAATCAAGTTTTTTTTCTTCTTTTATCAAGTAGCATGTCTTTCAGTTTCTTAGAGTTACTCCTTCCACACTATTATGGTTCATATTAAAGCTGCAATTCCATGTCGATTTAAGTATAAGTAGGATGAAATTGTATCAAATCTGTAGTGGAGAGTCATCTCTTAATTCGAAAGACAGAAATATTTCTTGAGGTTGCAGAAGTCCAAATGCATTCGGTCGAAACTGTATGGGAATCTAAAAATAAACAAGCAAATAAATAAAAAAAATAAATAAACAAAAAAAAGGTGGGAAAGTGCTTTTTCCACCTTCAAGCCTATTCGCCATCGCAAGCCTGTTATACTATAAAATTAAAGAGTGCATTTTTTTTAGCTTATTCGCCTTCTGAAGCCTGTTACACTACATAATGGAAAAGTGCGTTTTTTAAGCCTATTCCAACTTTAAACCTATTCGCCTTCTGTAGCCTGTTACACTATATAGTGAAAAAGTGCGTTTTTTAAGCCTATTCCATCTTTAACCCCTTGGGGACGGTTGATTCAGAAAAGCATTCGTACAAAATGAAAATCAAATTGTAATTAAATAAAAAACGGTAACTTAAATGTAGTCGTTGCTAATTTGACAGATTTACTTTGCTTTTACTTTAATTATTGTTAGCTTAATCTCATATATAATCAATATTAATTCAAAGCATAACTAAATAGTTTTATTCTAAACAAAGTAATGGTGAATTAAATAAATCAAACAATTATAACTCCGCCCACAAATAAACTGCTAAAGAATTACTTTGATTACCAGTTTTATCTTTTTGCTCTAGTTGATACGGTTTTATGACACGTTATTATGGCACGTATTTGTGACAGTCGGCGCGAAAGGGTTAAGCCTATTCGCCTTCTGAAGCCTGTTATACTATATATAGAAAAAGTGCGTTTTTCAATATTTCGACCTTTTTTTACTTTTTTTTTTCTATGTAAATTCATCAAACATCGTATATACAATGGTGAAAAACAACGTCTGCAGTCTCCAACAAAAAACTTCCAAACAAAAATTAGCAAACTTCCAATCACGGCAAACTACTGTTATTTTTTGTTTTGCTTCCACGAGTAAAAACGTGATAAAACAAAACGTATTGCCAAATTTTGCTGTGCCCGAATTTACTCGGGATAATAAATATTTGTAATATATATACAGACCCGAGTTAACTCGGGGAAGCGGTTAAATTTATATTTACATAAATATCTCTAATTATACCCCTATAAATATCTATAATGTCTGTATAAGTTTCTATATAAGTTAAAATATCTATATAAGTTTCTTAAAATATTTAATAAAATAGGAATGAAATAAACGATACATTTATTAAGCTGTAAAAAAATTTATATTGAAATTTTGGGAAATTTCGTTACAAAAGTTATCAACAGATGGTGCTGAAAGCCGTCTGGGACCAGACCTATCATTTCTAGCTTTAAAACGTGAAAGAAGGCCAGGAGTTGGCACTTGGCTCCACCGCATGTAAACTCTCTTTACACACATAGTATCCCCAAGAGATTTTGAGTGCGCTGATTGGTTTTCTCGGCATTGCCTTCTGTTACGTCTTTTTGTAGCTCCTCCCCAATAACATTTCTCCGTAATTTGTTCCCAAAATGTAAATCAATCATAAATCAGTTCCAGTATATTTATCATACTAATTTTATGACAAATGTTAAAGTTTTGTTCAAAATATTAAGCAGCGTTATTAACTGTATATTAATAATAACACATTTATTTAAATCTAATTTTCTTTAAATTTTATGCTAATATTTTTTAATATTAATGTTATGAATTTTAGGTAAATGAGAGGTAAACAATCATGTTTTGGTAAAACATCAAACTAGTATAACAATAATTATTAAACATAAATTAAAGTTTTATTAGCTAGCTTTTATGTAATATGTATATAAGAATTGATTAATATTCAAATTGAATAGCATTGTGAATATCCTTATGCACTTAGAAATTAAAATCTCTTACTTAAATTTAATAAGTATGATTGCAGAACCACTCAGTTAAGTTTTGTTATTATATGAGATTTTAAAATGTATATAAATAAATTTTTAAAATTGTGTTTGATTATTTGAAAAAGATTTTATCATATTATAGAGGAAAATATTCTAAAATGTTTTAAAAAATGTAATTATAATTCAGCAAAAAAATTGTCGAATTTTTCAAAAACTTCTATTACATTTCCCCTGCGGCACTTTCATAAACGCACTGTGGTGACAAACAAATAATTTCCAGCAATTAAATAATAAAAATATATTTACAATCCAATAGAAATGCACTAGAATTAAAAGGGGGAATTTTTTGTAAATTTATTCTTTAATTACTCATGGTATTAATTTAATGGACAATTCATAATCACTAACTTTTATTTTGATGGGAATTATGCAATCAAAAATTATTAAAATAAGCATCTTAAAAGACAATTGCTTGATTTCTTAGATGTCAATTAATAGTTTTTCGGTTTATAAAACATTTAACAAATTAAAAAAAAATAAAAAAAACATTAAAAATAAGTTATAAATAGGTAGGCATAATGCAGATGTCTTAGTTTTAATTTATAATAATAGATGGCACCACTAAAAAATATTAAATTAAAAATTTTATAATTTAATTTTAGTAATCCACAAGAAATAAACCAAATATTAATTTAATTCGATGAACATTAATTTAATTAAATAAATATCAAGTGAAAACTACTCAGTTTTCATTTTGTAGTGAGTATAGGAATTAAGCAAGGCAATTGAATCCGATTTCAATGTTATTCAATAAATTAGAGGGATATTAGCTTCATAAGAATTCATGCATGTAATAATGATAAATTTAGCGAAAAAAGCATTTCCCATAAAAATTAAATACAAAATTTTTCTTAAAATAACTAAACTAGTTATTTACCTACAAACAAATCTTTGTCCATGAAGTTTGGAAGTTCTAGAATTCCATTTCGTATTGGTAAGTTCCCCAAATTCCATTAACCACTTGTTGCAATCGTCTAAATTTGGAACATTGTTCTAAGGGTAATGGTATTTGAGGAAATATTTTTTATTTCATTTTTAAATGAAGAAGGCAGTTTCTCTGTTAAAAAAACTAACATTTCAAGTTTGTACACAAAAGCTGGAGTGTAGAAATCACTCTATGCTGAAAATAACAAGCACGGCAGAATGAAGTAGCCATACGTCACAGATGGCGTTGCCGAGAAAGCCAATCAGCGTGAGCAAAATCACTTGGGGATACTATGTGTGTAAAGAGAGTTTACATGCGGCTCCACCTTCATCGCGTGATACGCGACGATACTATTTCGCTATTATTGGAAGAAGATTGTGAGCAATCCTGAATTGCTATTTGGCGATCGTACGGCGAAAATATTTATTTCGCAAACTTAGATGTGCCTTTTTTTAACATTAAATATTTCATAAATATGATATTTCTCTCTTTTGAGTGAATAGTTTGTCCTTTATGAAACAATTTGCTGGGAAAACAGCAGTTTTTAAATTTAAAATATATTTAATTAGCTAGAGTAACAATAGCAGATGATAAAGCGAAATAAGTGACTGAAAAAGAATTCACTGTTTGTGTTTGGCGCGCGGGTTGTCTCGGTTGAAAGCGCGGAGACGTTTCTCTTCTTACTCCCGCGCTGAAATGAACTCTTCGTCGAAAGAGGTGAGGCCCAAGCGCCTGGTAAAAGAACTATACATTCCATCTGTTAATAATTGCAGTTCCTCAGAGTTAATAATGAAGAAAAGCATACTTTTGTGTGATGGCAGGTGTTGATGTTGAAAGAGCTGATGATATAAACGAGGCACACTTTTATTTCCATGAGAGCGAACCTCATGCCAATGCAATTTCTGGGTCCATGTCCGAAGGGAAGATATGAATAGGAATCTCTCTTCTTTCGTTCCTCAGGGCTGAATCTAAAAATGAATTAAAAGAATCGTTCTCAAAGCGATTTCTATAGTTAGTCTAAAGTAAGAACTCCCCTAGTCATTCGTCTGTACCCGTGTCGGTAACTATGGTAACGAGGTATAACTATTTAGAGTAGGGGTGTTGGGGTCACTGTTTAAGACAGGATTTGGCTCGGGTTTGGCGAGAGAAAATGAATCGTTTTCTTCGATTTATTGTGTTAGCTCTAGAGTGAAGAGAGAAGTTACCCTCTCTGAAATGCGCTATTCCTGTTTTCATAGCAACAGGTGGCCTCAGATTTTATGGCGAGGGGAGTTCTTACCGTATATAAATGGTAAGAATCATCATTTAACACATTTTAAAGAAGGTATTCACGGTTTCCTAAAGTAGTAGATTTTTATATTTCTAATATAACAAATTAACAAATATTTTTTTACACAATGTAAATAAAAATAGATATTAAGGAAAACATATATGCTTCTTCCTGCGATATCGACTATTTTGCCAGGATTTGCTAATAGAATAACGATAGGATTAAAATTAAACACACTTCCTATTACTCTGTTAGAGGGTCAATACTTGAATTCTCGAATGAAATTTAGTTTATTCTTATCATGATTGTTGCTCATTTTAAATTCTCTCATTGTTCTATTCTTAAAATTAAGGCAAATTATCGAAAACTGCAACAGGATATTACAAATGATGAGACAAACAGTTTCACTCAATCTTGTGTCGGATTTGTGCAATTCATTTAGGCTCCCACGAAATGTTCGTAAATATTAGGGGGTCTTTAGACAAAACTTTTTACGAAACCCTGAATGCTCTATAACAAGGCTCCCACTCAATTTTCAAAAAAAAAAAAAAAAATTAAGGACTTTTCAACGACTTTTAAGGACCTGAAATCGAAATTTTCAAGAACCTACGTAGGAAGGGAAAAAATATGTATTCCCATTTCTCCTTTAAGATTTTACTCATTGGAGCTTTTCGAAAACTGCGTTAGAGCAAATTTCTTTATCATTTCATATTTGGTGGCATTATGAATTGCATATATCCGAATTTACCGGATTTTGAATTCAGTGAAGAAGGAAAAAATATCGGAATTGAGGTAAGTCCCTTCCATTTTCTACATATTAGAAAGGAACTTTTTATTTTGACACATTAGCAAATAAAATGAAAAGTTTCAAAAAATCGCACATGCTTTAAAATGATAGCATGCTACACGTGGTTAAAACGAGACTAATAATAGACAAGGTTTCGTTTAATGTTTTCTTGTCAATATTTGAGTTCCCATATCCATCTTGTATTTGTTATACAATCATATGAGAGGGGTAAATAAGGATAAGAGTCTTTTCTAAATTTAGACCAGACAAAAAATTTGATAGACTCAGCTGACCTTAGCTGTTCCAGTTTCATTAATAAAGATAACTGGGAAACGAAGTGAGAGTGATTGAAATTTCTATTTTCATGCTTGTTTTGTAGGAAATATTATTCCGAAAATTACCCGGAAGGACTCTATAGCAGAACTCAAGGGCTTCTTGGAGCCCTAATTTTTTCGGACAAACTTCAAGGACTTTCAAGGTTGTACAAGTACTGTGGGAGCCCTGTATAACATTTTATTGCCCATATGGAAAGGACAACTTTTTTTTGCAGCTTTCCTCCTTCAAATTTAATTCTCCGGACTAATTCTTAATGGCATAATTCTCTGCAAGCATGTTGAGTCGGGAACATGTTCTTCACCTTCTGGAGAACCTTCCAATTTACGAGAAACATGTTGAGTCTTCCCCAGTACCGTGTTAGAGTTTAAAAACAAGCTATTCAAATGAGGATTACCTGTCTGGATCAAATTTCTCAGGATCCGGAAAATACTTAGGATCATGATGCAGGGCGTATATTGGAACTGTGACAATCATATCTTTTTCCAGAATGATGCCAGTGTCACCCAATTCGTATTCAGATTCAACTTTCCGTTCAGTTCTAAAAACAAGAAGAAGATAAAGAATGTTTCAAATTACTATTTGTCAACTTAGAAAGTTCGGAAATTTAAAAAAAAAAGTTGCGATTGCTTCATCACGATCAAACGCTTTTTCTTTTCTGGATTGGACTCCGTTAAACATTTCAGATCATGGGTTGCAAAAACTGTCTCCATTGATGTTTGATTTCATATCCTTGCCTATGTACGTGTTTCACAACAATACTTTTCCTTCTTTCCTTCTTAATTCATATTTATATTAAAATCACCATCAAGACAATCATTGTACGTTAATAATAAAAAGAATTTAAGAAATACTTAAAATTATTATTATGTAAATACAATAAAAATGACTGCTAGTGAACAATAAAAAGAAAAACAGCAGTGATCGCCATAGCAGCGCATGCGCACTGTTTACTATTACTCTCGAACACAGTTGAAAAGTGTGTGGACGCCATTCAATCCAAAACAAGACCCATTTTGTTGATGGGTAATAATAGTTTTGAGGGTTTTCAAATATCTTATGATGTAAAGTTAGGAAGGGCGGGTAAATTTGGTGAAATCTCGTTGTTTACAGTCAAGAGAGGACTTATTTTGATACTCTGGTTTTGCGTCCGCCACTGTAGTTTGTTTTGCTAAATGACAACACAGAATCTGTGGTAAGAATAATATGAAGAATTTTCTGAGAAACAACATGAAAAAAAAAATAGTTTTGTTATTTCTCCTTCTGTTCTATCTTTCTATTCAGAGACAGTAAAATTTTTCATGAACCTCAGTCATTATTTATATTTTTGAAAATGTTTAGAAACAGACGATAAAAATAATCATTTTCATCATTATTGTTTCTATACTTTGTTGTGGTTTTTAAGTGATTATCAGTATTCGTTTTTAAGTAAAGCTTTTAATTCTAGTTCTTTAAAACTTTCATTCTTAGCTCTTTTTAGTTCTGAGAATTATTGATTCATATTTCTACGCATTTATTATTTTTATCGAGCATGCTTCTGATAGAGTTTGTAGAATAGAGCATGAATTTAATTCTCATCCATCTGAGAGGCATCAAAAAGAGCTGAGCATAAAACTTCCTAGAATATTAAGCCTGTTCACACCTCACCTCGTAAACATAACTTAAGCGGAGGGATACACCGGAAGTTTCTTCCGGTTTCAGGAAGCTTGTTATTGTTTACATTCAGTCGAACATCTATAGTAACTTAAAATATCGCCTTCAATAATTAATTAGAATACTTGAGGTCATCTCCTCTAACCAATAAGATTGAGTACGTGAAAATCCGACCATTAGGTCAAAAGTTTTTTCCATCCAGTATTTTATCAATGACACTCTGCTTTCCTGGATATTGCGTGGACCGCTGTTCTTTTTAAGCCGTTTAACCCCTTCCTTCTCGCTTCCATGAAAATGACGGGATCAGATTTCGCCCTCTATTTCTCGCTCCCGTGAAATTTTCGAGCTGCAGTGTTCAGAAGTAACGCGCCAATAAGAACAAAATAATTAATTTCTTTTGCCCAGAAAACATTTTATTTCTCATTTTACACACCAGATGGCAGTGCCAGGATATTTTAAGGCAATTGTAGATAGTTAGTTTATTTCAAACTAGATGTCAGCACTAATCAAATACGTGTATTTGGCAAAATAGACACTTTTATGACCGTTTTCTTGAAACTTAACCGATGGTTAAGGGGTTAAGGAGTCCATAAATTAAATGATCGAAATTCTTTATGGTTAAGCAGAATTCGTTTTCTGACCCGTGGATAAAACTATTTTTTCAGATTATAACTTCTTTACGATATTTCTCTAAAATCACTGAGATTCGAACTTTGATCATTTCATTAGGAACCTGCTCTAAATATTTTCAAGTGGATCGTTATTAAATGTTGTTAACACTTATGTGCACAAAAGAGAAAAACGAAATACCCTAAATAACTTTTGATTTTTTGATCGGATTTTCACGTACTATAAGCCTCAATCTTAAGGGGAGGGACTTCAAATATGCTAATTAGTACAGACGATATTTTGAGTTGCGAAATCAGATACAAAAACGTACATTCTCTGAATAAACATACCTTTTTTTGAAACGGATTCGGTCCTAAAATCAGGGAAATGGAGTCCCAATAGTTTGGTCATAAGGGTGGTCTAAAGGTTGAAACCCGTAATGTTAATTTTACTTTTTGCATACTTCATATCTCAAGAGCTTTTTCAGAGAATTGAAAAACTTTTCCACGCAATTATAAAATTCGTTTGCCCAAAGATAATATCATGCAAAAAATAATTTTTATTAAATATTTATTATTTTATTTAAAAATAGTTTAAAAAGTTTGAATTGTAAAATATAAAAATTTTTTAAATCAGTTTAAATAATGTAGTTTTATGTGGCAAAATGCAAAATTTGAACAAAATCGGTCGAATCGTGTCTGAGAAATCAAATTTTAGAGAAGACCTATATCTAAAATTCGATTTCTCAAAAATTATTTGACCGATTTGGCTCAAATTTTGCCAAGTTACATTATTTAAAGTTATATTTATGTTTCTTAAAAAATTGTTTACCTTACGACTCAAAATCTTGTTGACTCTTATTAAATGAAATAAACGAAAATAATAAGTAATTACCAGGAATTATTTTGTTCTTGGAATTATCTTTGGCTAAACGAATTTTATAATTGTGTGAACATTTTCTTGGATTCGTCTCAAAAGTTTTCAAGCTATGGCAAAATACGCAATAGGAAAAATTAAGGGTAAATTTTAAATTGCTCGCCTGAGCAAACTAGAACTAAACTCAGCGGCACGACAGCCCATAGAGGGCCAAGGTCTACTGTCCCCATCTCAGTTCTCTTGACCTTGGGCTCTGGGGTGCAGGAGCAGATGTTCCGGTCAGGTGGTCAGCCGAACGCGGAACACCCAGTGTTTAGTTCCCAAGCATGCTTGGTACTCATTTATCGACGCACTGATGGGATGAAAGGCTGAGTCAACCTTGCCCGGCCCCAGAATCGAACCAGGGACCTGTGGCACAACAGCACGGAGCGCTACCGCTCAGCTACCGGGCGTCGCCTGAGCAATCTACAGGGACCTTATTTCCCAGATTGCGGCCTGCATTGTGCTCATTTAAATAAAAAACTTTTCGTTTCTTATTTCATAACTTAACCAATAACTTAACCAGAATTTATTTCATAACTTAACCCCTTACAAATTTTTTTGAAAAAAAAAATGCAAAAAATCAACACATTTTTTCATTTTATTAATAAATACAAGGAACTAAAACAAAACATAATACGCAAGCTCTAAGTTGAAATTTAAATTTTTTAAAGCTTAAAAAATATTAAGTTAAAATACCATCTGAACTGATTAATTATATTCTTCGAAGCATTGAGTCCGTGAAAGTCATTTGAGGTAGCATATAAAGTCAAAGTTTTTATTGTAATTACTTACCTAACAGCTGGAGGATATATTCTTAGGGTTTCTGATATGATATTATCCAAATATTTCATCTTGTTCAGAGATTCATAAGTTAAGACACCCTATGATTTATTTAAAAAAATATGTCATTATACAGGCAGAATGTGTTATGACTAATACTTAAGACTACAGTGAACACCCAAAATCGTGGAAATCACTCGAAAATTCTTATTTCGACCATTTTATATTAATTAAATGATGTAAAAAAGCATATTAATTATCATTAAAATCATAAGAATTTGTAAAACATTTGACAATATTAGCGTTATTTTGCTTTTTCATTACAAAAAATTTTTATTGTGAGAGTTTTGTGTAGTGTTTCTCAAAACAAAAATTTTGCAACTAACTGGAAATTGAAGCAGTTGCATGCGCTGTTATTTTGATGATTATTACATGAAACGTTTTTGACACACTCCCTAGATAAATGAGAACAAAAACTTGAAGCAAAAAAATTTCAAAATAAGGTGCCACAACATATTTTATAGTCATTTCAGTGTTCCAAAACGTTCATAGATGGACGATTTTAATTTTTTTTATTTTATTGCCGAAACTTGATTTTTTTTCTCCTCTGTATTGACATTAGTAGAAAAATGTGTAAATTTTTTCCCAACAATTTGAAGAGAAATGTAAAAAGAGTTGAAATTAACGAATAATCTTCAAATTTAAGGGAAAATTTAGAGCAAGGAGCTTATTTAAATTTTAAATTTTTCATGTTATAGCATTTTCTATCTAAATGTAAACAATCCCTGCAAGTTACAGCAATGCAACAGTTTTTAAAAAAAATTTATTAAGAGTTCACTGTAACTTTAAAGGAGCAATTTATATATAAACCATAACAGCTTTCCCTAGCAGTTCAGAACAATACATCCATAGAGCAAAATTAGGAAACTGTGACATTTAAACACTTTTTCAATTTTTAAAAAATGTTGGTGTTAATAATGTAAAGAAGCATTTCCAAGGTTTTTTTCTACATTAAGAATCAGACTTCAAGTAATTTGTTCATCAGAAAGGTTCATCATAATTATTTTTAAAAAAATGATAATACGGGGTGCGACGGAAAAAGTCATGATTGGGAGGCAGACAATTTTTTGTTCGTCATTTATTATACAGTTAAACCCTGTTATAGTAAACCTTCATTGGGACAGAAATTTCGATTCACTATAACCGGGAGTATCCGTACTGTAAACGATTTTAACTAATGTTTCCGAACTGCTCCCTTTTATGACACATTATGAAAATAAATGACCCATAAAAAGAAGCACAAAAATGATTAAACAATATGTAGAAACAAAAATTGTGTTAACTTTTATTTCTTATTACTCTTCGTCTTGCGTACAAAAAATTTAGGGATGGGAGACTGAGATAGAAGAAGTAAACAAGAAAAAATGCTTATTCCACTCAATAGATGGTCTTAAAAATCGGTATACGTAGTTCATGAACAGCCGAAAAGTTTTTCCATCCCAAGTCAAAATTTTTGATGGTTCTTCATTGATGAACCTCCTGATGGTAACCATCAATAATTCCATCATGAACCATTATATTTTCTTTATTGTCACCATCGCCCCAATGTAGGACTGATTTATGATGGTCCAACAACTTGTTTTGATGGTTTAATGTTCATGTTGAAACATCACGATATTCCATCATACTCTCTTAAAAATCAAATGATGGAATGATCATAATCCCAATCTAGGAATTCAGACTGAAATATGATGGTCCAACATAAAAAAAGTTGTTTTGACTCCTGAGAACCCACAAGAATTCCCACTAAACCATCATGGAAACGTATTTATTGTTGGAACCATCAAGGATCATCGTGGATTGTTGGTCCGTGAGAGTCAAACTTCTCTTGATGGTTAACCATCACAGTATTAAAGTAGCATTTTCCCTCACTGGATAGAAGTTTGTTGGCATATCAAAAACCATGAACACGTAATGGAAAATGTTGGATGATGGTGATCATGAAATAATGTTGGACCATCATGAATCGCACTGACACCAACATAAGTCATGAAAATTATTTTTTGATGGAATTTTGACTTAGGATGTGCAAAATAGCAACTCACATCATTGTCTAAGAAGTAGATGATTTCCTGACGGGCCTTCTCTTGCACTTCTTGATGGATGGCCAGTAAATAGGAGGAGAAGGAGAGGGCGGAGGCAGTCGTGTCATAACCAGCCAAAAAGAAAATAATGCATTGCGCAATCACCTCATTCATTGTAAGACCTAGAACAAGAAATGAATATCTGTTGAAATAGAATTCTTTCACTTACCCGCGTTGTGAAAGACAACAGCTCCAAGTAAGTCACTGGAGATTGTCAGTAAGCGAGTGGGTGACCACTTTGATCAGCCTGCGTAGTGACCGGTATCAGTTCTTGTTAAACTGTTCTACCGTAAAGAGCTAGACTTCGCGTGCAGGTCGTCGGGCTACCAAACCAAGGGAGCCATCCCCTCTGTAGAGGAACAAAATGGTATGTCTTCGGATCATCCTCAGGGATGTTTCTCAGACCCTCTCCAATAGCCCATTGTGCAGCTCTAGTGGCATATAAATAAAGTACCTACCTGTTCGATGAACTTTTACCATCTTTCTGCTAACTTCATGTTCTTATCAGATGATCCTATCTATCAGTAAATATAAGTGAGGTCGCCATTGCTATTAACATTTTTTACCGTTTAAAAAGTATTGTAAACTTCAAAATAATCTGACACTAATAATCTGATGGTGAAAAGAAGTAACATCGCCTAATATACAATGATTTCGTTATTAAAGATGTGCGAGGCTGAGATAGGATGCTCTGTAATCTATTTGAAGGAGGACTCTTTAATTTTTAAAGTTCAAATAAGTGTCACTTACATCGAAACAGATCTAAAAGATAAGAGAGATAAATACATTTTCTAACGTATTTCACAGCAAAAATAGAATCAAGCTAAAGGGTTTTCGGGGGGTGGCAAATCATCATGCGCTGCGATCTTCTGGACGACTTTGCAGATTTTTGCAGGGGACGAAAATCTAAATTGTTCTGTGAAGGCATTTAGAACACGTTAAGCAAAATGGTAAAAAGAAAGTTTTGCAACGAAAAAAAAAACTTAGTATTTTCCCTCTGTGATAAAAGCCCCACAATGTTTGCCTACTTTTCGATATCTTTATATGTTTTTATTAGACACTTTTCTGTTCTAGGCGTTAAGCCCACATCATTTGCGAATGCAAAAATTTGTAATGATTCAATCACCCTCTTGTCGTTAAAAAAAAACTTTCTTCTGAGGGAAGGATCGCCTCATTGAATGATGCCTACTTAAAAGCAGTTCTTAAAAGTAGAGACAATTCATATTTACTTTTGTGTGAGTCGTCATTTGTGAAAACATTTTGATAGTTCGGTCCCATATCATCATTTTCTTCTTCTGCAGCATCTATCAGCAACTGAAGGAAATCGTTCCTTTTCTGTAAAAAAACAACATTTCAATTGACACAAAATAATGCATAAAATAAAGTCGTTTTTCTATCCGAATGGTCTGATTTTAAGGATGACAATGAATGAGTATATATGATGCTACAAAGTGAAAACGTACTTTGTTGTTGAGAGATTCTCTAAATATGAGATACTATGGTAAATAATGTTCCCAACCGTTTAGGCAGGCTAAAAGTCCTTCCCAAGAAACACACAATCTAAGATAAATGTTTCTCAAGAGTCGAAGACCTTTACAATAAGTCTGTAGTGTATCTACCACTACAAAATTCCAATTCACTAGAGTATTGGACATGTTAATTCGATTCTATGGTGGGGTACCTTTTCATAGATGAAGGGTCGATCACAGATCTCCAGAAATTGGTGACTCGGACGTGATATGAACATGCCTACCTTGACAGAAACTCCCACTTTGATATAAACACGCCTATTTTGACAGTAACGCCCATTTCGATCTGAACACACATACTACGATGGATAGTACACATTGAACATTTGGCTTGCTACCTGTGACTGCGACATTATCCACCTCCTCACGCTGTTGCTGCTCAGTCTCGAACACGCACACTGAACAACGTATTCACTCGACTGCTAAAGGAAGCACAGGAGCCACCACGACAGTGAACTTAATACAGCTCTCACGACCAGCACTCAAGAAGTACAATGATCTTCTCACAAAACAGCAATGAATCAAGCAGTGGTGTCCGTTCAAATCTCCACCCTCTGAGGTGCTACCATCATTTTTGAAGGGCTACTCAATAAATATTTAGTTAGGTTTCGTAGAAAATGCGAGAGTTTTGTCTTCGCAAATAGATATATGTAATCGAAATCGCAAGAAATTGTGCTCTCAATAGATTTTCGCTACGACGAGTGATGTCTCCGATGAATTGTGTTCGCATTGAATTTGGAATCCCACGAATTGTGCCCGTAACGAATTGCGCTCACGACGAATTGCTCCCACAACGAATGGTCATCGCAACGAATTATGCTTTCGCCGAACTGCCTCCTGATGAATTGTGTGCGACGAATTGTACGCCACATATTGACCAGGGCCCGGCTTAGCTTAATTTGGGCTAGGGGCAAAAACTTCTTTGGGGGCCCCCTCAGTTTCACTAATTCAGTAATGAAGATTTTATGGAGGTATTTAAATTTTTCACCTCATTATACATATATAGCAAGAAAATTGACTACAACCTAAAATAGCTCCCCCCTCCAATGGTTGGATGAAATATCGTCTGTCCATTTTATTGATTTTCTGACAATTTTATGTCTATCATCCTGAATACAGCTTTCTGATTCTTAACTTTGTCATGTAGCTGCGAAAATTTCATATCCTTGTTAACATTAGGGCGGAATACAGCTAAATTTTTGCAATGACAATGACTTACTTCAGTCAATCAAAGGCCTTTATTTTTGTAAAACTATCGCATTTCGTGATATGTAAAAATACAGGCTTTTGATTGGCCAAATGGGTCCATCGTCATTGCGAAAATTTATCTGAATTTCACCCTGGAAAGCCATGGTCAAAATATAGATTGAGTTCATACCATAGATTAACGAAAAAGCTCTCGTAAAACTGAAGGATTTTACACTGTACTGATATTTTGTTTTAAAAAAAAGGAAACATAAAATAAACTTTCTATTTGATTGCCGGGCTCCGTCTGATGTGGGGACCCGGGGCAACTACCCCGTATGCCCCTGCCCTGGTCAGGCTCTGAAATTGACTCGACACCCTACAACTACCACTATAAACATATTCATTTATATAATATGTTCTATTTTTTACCTGTTTTGTCCTTTTCCTTTGTTCTATTATCTGTGTAGTAACGTTGCTGAAAAATCCATTGACGGAGGGATCTGCTAAAGAGATGTTCAACAGTTTCAAAATCTTCGGAGATATCACTATCAAAAAAAAAAAGAAAGAAAAAAAATGAAAGGTTCCATCTAGATCCGAATAAATGATTAAAAAAGAATTGAAAAGAAACATACGAAATAAGATCAATCTCCAGTTGAATTTCGGTGTGAAAGCTCTCCTGGCTGCCTGAACGAATTCGTTTTCCGGATCATTATGTGAATCGATCTTGGTAGAAAAAGCGGAGCTCGCAATCACGTCCATCGTAAATGCACCAAAAAACCTAAAAGAGAATCCAACAACAGAGAAATAGAATACAATTTCTTCATGACATCATCCCCTCATACAGTCCCTGGCCATATTATTCGACGCACTATAAGATTCTATGTGAGCTGTATAGTATGACCTGATAATTAAGATTTTACATAGAATCTTAGAGTGCATCTAATAATATGGCCAGGGACTGTATAAGAAGCGGAAAATCCAACAAAGAAAGAATGCATACCTTTTTGCATTGACGGGTTCATTCTTTAGAGCAGCAATTCTGAAGTTTTGAATCAAAGTCTTCGAACAGTCTTTAAAAATGCTCATCACCTAAACGTCACATCATAAAGTTTAAAAAATATAATAAATCACAATTCGCATTTATAATCTTTTTGTCCCATTTGAATTGGTAATTTTTGTACCCCGTTTCAGGGATTGTTGTTTGCGGTGACCTCCCATTCAGGTGACCTAGGTTCGAACTGGCTTCTAAACGAATTTTGTTCTTCACTCGCACAGACATATCCTAAGTGGATCATGGGTTCCGTTGCCATCTGTGGTTTCTCTTTCCGTGTAACGTTTGTAAGTTTCTTCAAAAATTCGGCATTGAACATTCATAGTCGCATATCGGAAAACGAGTCGACAGTTCTACGTTGGTTAAAAAATAAAAATATAAAATAACTGTTGTTTGAAATAGTAAATTGGATGCAAAGTTCTATTTTCAAATATCTCTAAAGAAGTCACTCACTCTAATAACCCTAGATACAATTATCATCATGCATTTCGTTATATCGAATTTTTATAGAAATAATTATAATAATAATAATAAAAACGAAAAACTTAGCTCAAAACAAAGAATAATGTAAAAATATTGAGGTTTTAAGCACGACTGTAATTTACAAATCAAACTATTTTTTTAAAAACATATCTTCATTTCAAAAAAAAAAAGAAAAGAAAAAAGAACATTCGATCAAAGATATGGCCCAGGAATATATCAAAGAGCTTTTTAAATAAATCGGAAAATTTTTTTTATTACGAAAATATGTACAGGGGCCACCGAAACTGTTCGTACAATGGAATATCTGTAAGCTGCATATAGTTTGTTCAAAATAAGAACTCCCCCAGACGTTCGTCTGGACCAGTGGCGGTGACCATGGTAACGAGATATGACTATTTCAAGTAGGGGTACGAGGTCACTGTTTTGGAGTGGTTTCCGCTCGGGTCGGCGACTGAAAGGGAATCGGCCTCTTGTGTTAGTCCCAGAGTGAAGCTACCCTCTTTACTCTTTAAAATGCGCCATTCTGGTTTCCATAGCACCAGACCGCCTCAGACTTGGTGGCGGGCGGAGTTATTAGCTTAGACAAACTATAGTGTAGGTATCTCGATCCTGATTGGTTGTTAGAACGTGGCATTTGTTTATGTTAGCAACTGTTTTTTCCAATCTATTTCTCCTAAGCAAAGCTCGTCAAGTATCAATTCTCTTAAGTGACACTTTCTAAATTCTTTCAGAAAGATTTTTTCTCAAAGATTTCTATTTTCTTTCACTATGTATTTACACAGAGACTTCACACAAAGACAGGCACGATTCCGTGTGAAAGATAAACAAACTAAAGATGCATCGAAGGTATACAAAACAAAAATATGTCACGGTTGCAATAAAATACATAGACAAATAATAAATATAAGTAAAAGAAGTAGACGAGACTGAATTATATTTCAGCTAATTCGATGTGTGATACAGTTCTGTATTTAATGGACTTATCGTTAATGAACATTCTAAATCATGTAAAGAGCTCTACTTTAATGCGCCATTTTGCTGATAAAGATTAGCTGTCGCTAACGTCACATGTGTTTAAAGGTCTTCTTCTTGAAGTGTAAGTACCCAATCACTATAGATATTAATATTACGATATATATAAATTTAGGATAAATATTAATATTATTCAATAATTAAAATGAGTATTTCAGAATGGGTATTAAATAATAATAACTATAATGTATTCTTAACAAAACTGTATGAAATATTTTAAAAAAGTATGAAATATTTTATTTTCAAGAAATCAATGATAAAAAAGCAATGAAAATTTTATATCACAAAAGTCATCGTACGTCGAAATATTTTTGCATAAATTCCTAATTAAAATTATCGTCTGTTATTTTTATTTAAATTACTTGTTTGTTTAAAAATTATTATTCATTGTTTTTTCCGATTAACAAATCGTCTGCTTGTTAGCTGCGTGTTATTTTCCTTATTATTTAATAAATAGCGTAGAACATTTGATTATTACACTCCAGTGGTAAATGAACAATTTTCTTATTCTAATGTGTGATCAAAGAAGAAATTAAAATTTGCAAAAAAAAACAAAAAAACTCACGTTTCAGGTACTGTAAAAGTTTTTGCGAAAATTTACGAAAAATATATGCAGCTTCAATTTCTCCTCTTCGGCGAGTTGTCGGAGATGAGGTGGAAAAACTTTAAATGTGCTTCGATTTCTTGCTATTTTATTTTCGTAAATAGCGGATGTTCAGTCTCCGGCAGTATACATACAAGGCCATCGTCCAATCACAGTTTAAAGAATATGGTTTTCTTCTTCTTCATTTTTTCTGATAAAATTAAACAATTGGGTACTTGCTCTTCAAGAAGAAGATGAAAATATACCCACACATGTGACCTATGACGTCAGTTCCAGCACATCGTTTCTATTTTATTTTATTTTATTTTATTTTATTTTATTTTACTTTATTTTATTTTATTACCGTAGTTGAAGAGTCAACTCATATTGGGGTTACAACTGTAGCCTTGTAATTTTGAACCATATTCAGAAGACATGGGGACTCCTGGATCATGTATTGGGAGAAATTTGCCTTCTTTGCAGGAATTTTTGTTGAAACTAAACGACATTTGCGTTTCATGGAGAAGAGAACCACGAAAACTCCCACGGTTATCCTAACGGCAAGCGGACTTCAACACATGATCCGTCTACCACTGAGAATATTTCACGTCAGCGCTGTGGTGGGTGCTAGACTGATGCAGAATTCATATCGNTTTGAATTGATAATTTTTGTACCCCGTTTCAGGGATTGTTGTTTGCGGTGACCTCCCATTCAGGTGACCTAGGTTCGAACTGGCTTCTAAACGAATTTTGTTCTTCACTCGCACAGACATATCATAATTGGATCAAGGTTTCCGTTGCCATCTGTGGTTTCTCTTTCCGTGTAACGTTTGTAAGTTTCTTCAAAAATTCGGCATTGAACATTCATAGTCGCATATCGGAAAACGGGTCGACAGTTCTACGTTGGTTAAAAAATAAAAACATAAAATAACTGTTGTTTGAAATAGTAAATTGGATGCATTCTATTTTCAAATATTTCTAAAGAAGTCACTCTCTCTAATAACCCTAGATACAATTATTATCATGCATTTCATTATATCGAATTTTTATAGAAATAATTATAATAATAATAATAATAAAAACGAAAAACTTAGCTCAAAGCAAAGGATAATGTAAAAATATTGAGGTTTTTAGCACGATTGTAATTTACAAATCAAACTATTTTTTAAAAACATGCCTTCATTGCAAAAAAAAAAAAAAGAAATGGAAAAAAAAAACAGTCGATCAAAGATGTGGCCCAGGAATATATCAAAGAGCTTTTTAAATAAATCGGAAAAATGTTTTGTTACGAAAATATGTACAGGGGCCACCGAAACTGTTCGTACAATGGAATATCTGTAAGCTGCATATAGTTTGTTCAAAATAAGAACTCCCCCAGACGTTCGTCTGGACCAGTGGCGGTGACCATGGTAACGAGGTATGACTATTTCAAGTAGGGGTACGAGGTCACTGTTTTGGAGTGGTTTCCGCTCGGGTCGGTGAGAGAAAGGAAATTTCTGCGGTCTATTGTGTTAGTCCCAGAGTGAAGCTATCCTCTCTAAAATGCGCCTTTCTTGTTTCCATAGCACCAGACCACCTCAGACTTTGTGGCGGGCGGAGTTCTTACAGTAGACAAACTATAGTGTAGGTATCTCGATCCTGATTGGTTGTTAGAACGTGGCAATTGTTTATGTTAACAACTGTTTTTTTCAATCTATTTCTCCTAAGCTAACCCCGTCAAATATCAATTCTCTTAAGTGACACTTTCTAAATTCTTTCAGAAAGATTCTTTCTCAAAGATTTCTATTCTTTCACTATGTATGTATTTACGCAAAGATTTCACACAAAGACAGGCACTATTCCGTGTGAAAGATAAACAAACTAATGATGCATCGAAGGTATACAAAACAAAAATATGTCACGGTTGCGATAAAATACATAGACATATAATAAATATAAGTAAAAGAAGTAGACAAGACTGAATTATATTTCAGCTAATTCGATGTGTGATACAGCTTTGTATTTAATGGACTTATCGTTAATGAACATTCTAAATCATGTAAAGAACTCTACTTTAATGCGCCATTTTGCTGATAAAGATTAGCTGTCGCTAACGTCATAGGTCACATGTGTTTAAAGGTCTTCTTCATGAAGTGTAAGTACCCAATTACTATAGATATTAATATTACGATATATATAAATTTAGGATAAATATTAATACTATACAATAATTAAAATGAGTATTTCAGAATGGGTATTAAATAGTAATAACTATAATGTATTCTTAACAAAACTGTATGAAGTATTTTAAAAAACATAGTTAAACTTTATTTTCAAGAAATCAATAATAAAAAAGCAATAAAAATTTTATATCGCAAAAGTCATCGTACGTCGAAATATTTTTGGATAAATTCCTTATTAAAATTATCGTCTGTTACTTTTATTTAAATTACTTGCTTTTTTTAAAAATTTATTCATTGTTTTTTCCGATTAACAAATGTTTGCTAGCTAGCTGCGTGTTATTTTCCTTATTATTTAATAAATAGCGTAGAACAACATTTGATTATTACACTCCAGTGGTAAATGAACAATTTTCTTATTCTGATGTGTGATCAAAGAAGAAATTAAAATTTGTAAAAAAACTCACGTTTCAGGTACTACAAAAGGTTTTGCAAGGTTTTGCAATTTTATTTTATTTTATTTTATTACCGTAGTTGAAGAGTCAACTCATATTGGGGTTACGACTGTAGCCTTGTAATTTTGAACCCAATTCAGAAGACATGGGGACTCCTGGATCAAGTATTGGGAGAAATTTGCCTTCCTTGCAGGAATTTTTGTTGAAACTAAACGACATTTGCGTTTAATGGAGAAGAGAACCACGAAAACTCCCATGGTTATCCTAACGGCAAGCGGACTTTAACGCATGATCCGTGTACCACTGAGGATATTGTACGTCAGCGCTGTGGTGGGTGCTAGACTGATGCAGAATTCATATCGACCAGCCATCGCTGGGATTCGAATCCGGTTCACCTCATTGGAAGGCTAACGCTCTATCCCCTGAGCCATCCCGGCTCCCAGCTAATCGTTTTATAACAGTCGTTGAACAGCCACACCCAATTGTTGGGTTTAAGACTACTAACGTTCAACTCCGTAGCCTTGTAATTTTGTTCCCAAATCCAGAAGACAAGGGAACTCCTAGACCAATATTGTAGTTTTCAATTACTTACTCAAAACTATGAATCCCATAATTGTTCGATATTTCGATTTAAAAAAAAATAAGAGAAAAAAAATTTAGACGATTTTAGCAAAGAAAAGTATCTATAAGAGTATTTCTTCTAATAATAAAAAACGACCCCTTTATTTTGAAAGGTTTAAGTGCTGCCGAATGATTTTTATAATTTTGCTTTAAAAAAAAAGAAAAAAAACTAGAATTCTGTAATAGCTTGTCAAAACCAATGCATGAAAAATGTTGAGATTGACTATATTTTTAAAATGACTCACCCTTTTTAGCTTTCCAGTAGAGAATGTTGGGGATATGATGCTTCGAACTTTCTTCCATTCATCTCCTTCGAGAATTGAGATCATTTTATCCGATATTTTATCACCCGATTTAAACGGCTTGAGAAAAAAAAATTAACATCATTAGAAACTCGAAATAAAAATTTTTTAAACATAAATTTATAACAAAAATCCTTCAAAAATTAATATTATTTAGAATCAGATCATTTGTATCACGAAAAGTTCAACTTGAAAGAAACTGTTTAGTGTTTTAAGTAAAAGAAAAAACGAGGCAATATGCTTTTGTTTATCATATTTAATTGTTTGATTGTTGATAAAGTTTTTGATTATTTGTTTTAATTTTTTGCGGTTTAATTTTATAATTAAAACTTAATTTTTTAAAGCTTTTAACTATTATTTGGCGGCCATCTACAAATTGACATAAGTTCTAATATGAAATATTAAAAATATTGAGACATGAAAATATTAATGGAACAGCTGTTTTTATTATAAACATTTTGTATTATTTTGCGAAATGTGAAATAGGCAGAGATTACTTATAGCTTTGTTACAGCATTGTGAATGCCCCCTTTATCTTATTTATTTATTTATTTTTTTCATTGTGATTTGCTTTTCGAAAAAAGGTTATAGGAGAGGCTTTGTGAATGAGCATTTCAGTCAAAACAAAATGAAACTTACTCTTCGGTTGACGAAGTGTACAAAGTCTTTGACGAAAATGTCCCGCAATAGTTGAGGATCGGCGATTGAAATGAGAGGCCGATTTGCCTCATAATGTCTGAAAAATAATATCATTGAAGGTTTAATAAAAACAATATATGAAAAATCATTGAATATTACCATTTTTTGAGCGATCTTTTGAAATAAAGTTATATGCATATCAAAAAAAAAATGAAACACTAAACTATGAAAAAAACTCTCCTCATCTGACGAAGACTACAGTCCCTGGCCATATTATTCGATGTAAAATCTTAATTATCAGGTCATACTATACAGCTTTATTGCTCTTATGTGACTGTTTGCACTTCTTTACGTTAGTCTATCAGTTGGTTAAAAGAGACGATATATAATATAAATTAGACGAATGGATAAATGAGACGATATTATAGAATATTTATTACACCTGGTATTATAATGGTATATTATAATAATGAGACCAAATGATGAGACGCACTTGTAGTGTTTTGATAATGACATGTTTTGCACGAGTTTATAGGCAATACTTTTATAATTAAACATACAAGTAATGGGTTTTTATTCAAGAGATTTTTTAAATACTTCCTATTTGTATTTATATTTAGCGTATTGCATTACAATATTAACCCATTGATACGTGTATTTGCCACCCGATTTATTATTTGTGTTTAAAAGAAGAATTGTCATGTGGAGACCTGTCATTTCAAAATGTAAGAATTGTCATTTGAAAAAAAAAATCGTTCTAAAACACCTTCTTACGTTGTTAGCACTATAATACCGACATCTAAATTTAAACCTAAATGATAATTTGTGAAATGTACTTATTCTCGAACAATATGCTAACACTAACGTATGATGCTGCACAGTAATAAGCAAGTAAAAAAGGTCGAAATCAGAAATGCCAAAAAAAAGTATTTCAAAATCTAGCAACCATGTCACCTTTTTTTTAAACAATATACCTCTAAATAATTAAAGCAAATTTTCACTTCAAATTCAACAGAGTTACTTAATATCATAAATATCAAATGAAATACAGCACTCAGAAATTATATATTTCTTTTTATTTAAAACAATATTAATGTGTTTAATAACATGGCCAGGTAGTAGAAAGAAATCAATTGCTTCGTAATGAAGAGAATGTGAATAACGAAAAAAAGATTTTACCCATAAACAGAACCCAGGGCAAAATGTCTCTTCAATTCCAATTCCATTATAGGCTAAAAATAAAAAATAGAATTTATTCACCATGATAATTTTTAATTAGAAATTAAATAACGAATTGATAAAAAATTTAATAAACGCCAAATAAAGGTAACACGAGAAATGAAAATTGAAATAAATATGTTACTGCGTTGACTTCCACTGCTGAATGTTGACAATCACATAGTCACTTTGGTCCGAAATATATACTAGGTTTAGTGAAGGCCGCTATCAGTGCTTTTTTAAGGTTCAGAGACCCGGTATACCCTACACTGATTTCGGAGTTACTAGGACACGTAATCGTAGAGTTCAAGACAGCTTCATTTCCAGATAAAATTTCCTACCAAGTATCGGAAGAACTTAGGGCATAAATTACGTTTTTATAGTTAAAAAACTCGATATTTAATAATAAATCACCATTTTGTTATAAAAAATAAATTAAAATATCACATACCCTTAACAGAAGTTACATTAATAATCTTTCGAAAATTAATCGTAAAGTATATACCCCCACTTCCTATCAAGATTTTGCATAAATCATTCAACAATCGAAAAGTAAACCCAATTTTTTTAGGAACATTTTGTCAAACTTTGTCTTAAAACAATTCAAAAATAATGAAGGAAAGTTTTTATAGATGTAGGGGCATAATATGTGTCCTCCGAACTGTACTGAAGGGATTTGATCTTAAATTATGTCAACCTTCATCTATCAAAATGTACCTCAAGATATAATCGAGTTAACATGTCTTATATACTAGTGATTCGGTATTTAATATTTGTAGTGGTAGTTACGCCACAATACTTTTTCAAATAGTGAAATATTTGTTTTATAAAAAATCTATACATATATTTCTCTTACAAGGCGACAATAAAAAGCCTCATTACAACTACAACGGCAACGCTATAAAATCGACCAATGATTGCCGCCAAAAATGTCACATGCCAAATCTAGCTGAGATGGCTCAACATATAGCGCTTTTAAAAACGGAAACTGAAATAACCAGAGAGAGCATAACACAGCCAACATTCTGATCTTTTATGCCTATGCCAATAGTCCCAGCCTCATACCGTGAATTACGGATGAAGGAGTGACTCTGGTCCACCACCTATTAAAAGTCAAGATCTATGTAGGGCGTATTTTTTCATAGATGAAGGTTGACATTGTTGATATCTACTCTCCACACACTGATGACCTTCAGACGTGATGTGAACATGCCTATCTCGACAGTAGCGCCCACTTCGAATTTAAAACACGCATACTTCGATGTATGATTCACATTATGAACAACTGACTTGCTACCTGTGACTGCGACATTATCCACCTCCTTGCGCTGTTGCTACTCAATCACGATCACACACAACGAGCACAGTATACTCTCGACTGCTAGAGACAACACAAGAGCGTGAACCTAATACAGCTCTCATGATCAGCACTCAAAAGTGCGGTGATCTTAATACAGTTCTCCCGGCTTCTCACAAAACAGCAATGAATCAGCTATCCGTTCATCGAATTCTATCACAGCTATAATTCTGGTGGGGGAGTACTGTAGTGTGCTTACCACTACAGCAATACAATTCCAACTCACTAGTATATAAGGTATGCTCTGTGTTGGGGTACCTTTTAATCGATGAAGGTTGATATTGTCGATGCGACTCTACCCACAGTTTCATGCGGAACAAAAATAGTTGATTTTGAAGTCGCCAAAAATGTTTTTCTTCAAGAAAAATTCTACGAAATATTTTATTTGAATCGTGTATAAAAAAGTATAAATGTCTTACTGTAATCATGTTTTCGTAAAGAGATCCAATAAAAGGAATTGGCTTGACATACGGAATTTTTCTCTGCTTCCAATACGACTGTTTTCTCATAGAATACCTAAAATGCACAAAATAATTTTAATTATATACACAGCCCCCTGGTCGAATTATTGGACGCACTCTAAGATTCTATGTAAAATCTTACTTATCAGGTGATACTATACAGCTTTATTGCTTTTATGTGACAACCGGTTTTTCACTTGTTTACACAGAAAATCCTCGGTCGTATGATTATGCGGCATTGGAAAAGATCCCTGGAGTGCCTTATTGGCTCTTGGCATTTCCGGCAAAATTAAATTCCTAGTGCACTTTAGCATCCAAATAGAGTCTCGGTGCTGCCATCTAGTGTGTTAGAAACTAGACGTCTAAATTAACATGACTAACGGTATCACACCCATTGTGGTGGTCCTGAAAGAGTGGATACCACCTCAAGAGAAAACACTAGGTCTGCTCATCGGCAAGATCGATTGTGCAGCTCATTGGAAAAAACCGTTCAACTATCAATGGGTTAAATGAGATGATAGATAATATAAATTTGACGGTTGGATAAATTAGACGATATATTATATCAACATAGAATATTTATTACATCAAGCATTATATTAGTATATTATAATAATTAGATCAAATTAATAGACGCACTGTCGTGTTTTAACAATGACATGATTTACACGAGTCAATACTTTTAACATACATGTAATGGGTGTTTATTCAAGATATTTTTTATAGACTTCCTATTTGTATTTATTTTCAGCGTATTGCATAATGTTGACCCATTGATAGAGAAACGTAAACAAATGCAAACTGGTTTCATCCAAGTAGAAACAATACAGCTGTATTAGTATCACCTGATAATTATAATTTTACATAGAATCTTACAGTTAGTCTAATAATATGGCGAGGGAGTGTAAACATTGAAAAAAGAATCTTCTTTTTTTTAATATTACCTTGTCTTGAAAGTAAATTTATTCAAGATAGACCGAATTGCTCTGTTATGCTGTTTAGAATAGTACTGATATAAAGGTAGTGTGAGTATAATTTAAAACTTTAAATGCCAGCATCTCAGAAACATGTTTTTAAAAGTAGGTGGAAAAAAATTCTGTTTTTATGCACCGGATTTATCTCTTTTTTTTTCTATCTAATATTCGTTCATCAATATTTAATCTAGTATTTAATCTTTCTGTTGTTCTTGACAATTTAATTTAGATTTTTCCAAATCGATCAAAAATCAACTTTTAGAGGGGAAGAATCATTCACCTTAAAGTTTGCTAAAGAAGTTACTAATTTTTATTATTAATGATAACACTCTCTTGAAATATTAAGTGTTAAAAATTGAAATGATTAATTTTTAATAATTCTTCTTGAATCGCAATTTTAAAACACTTTCGTATAGAAACTGGGAAGAATCGATGTTTTTTTCTTCTTTTTTTCTTCTTAAAACAAATTTTCATGATACAGTCAAACCCCGCTATAGTGAACCTTCAAGGGGCCGAAATTTCGGTTCACTATATCCGTTACGCAGGCAATTTCACTAATAGTTCCCAAACTGCTCCCTTTTATTACATTATATTCATATAAATGACTGAAAAATATTATGTAGTAGCAAAAAATGTGTTATTTTTCATCCCTCTTCGTCTTGCGTACAAATAAAAATTAGTAATCTTTAGTTGATGAGCAATTCTCAACATCAGATATGGAAACACTTCCCGACTCCCAGATAATTTTTCCCGAATTTCTGTTATTCCGGTTTTTAAACCTGTCTAACCTGTCATTCGAGCACATAAAAGTAGTTTCTATAGATGGTTTTAAAAATCGGTATATCTATTTATTTTGAAGTAGAAATTTCAAAATTATTACAAAGAAAATAGGGGGGAAATCAGTGTAAGATAGAAAAAAGTTCATTATATCCAACTTCCTCACTTTTTTGGTTCACTATATCCACTAATAATGACATTATACGTGTATAGCAAGGCACAGGACCGAGCATTTCGTTCACTATATCCGGGAGTTCACTATAAGCCGTGTTCACTATAGCGGGGTTTGACTGTATTATTAAACGATAAAATTATATTCGGTGTTATCCATTTTTACGATAAAATTATTTGCTAGGGTTTGTATGCACATTTTATGCATTTAATCACATTTATATATTTATTACACATTTATATATTTATTACACATTTATATATTTAAAATACATTCCTTCAAATTTGTTTCAATTAACGTTTTATAGTTTTACGAAATGCATTATTTTAATGCTTGACAGCATGTCGTTATAAAGAACTATCAATTTCCCTCATTGATTTCAAATTCAATACTGGATAAAAATTTTTGAAAACATATCTCGCGTTTAAAAAAAATAATAACTTCTTTAAAAAATAATAATTTCTCTAACATTTCATATCTGCTTAAAGAAATTATGCATTAATTTTAAAATAATTATTATAAAATAACTACAGTCCTTGGCCATATCATTGAACACACTACAGGATTCTATGTAGAATCATAATAATCAGGTGATACTATACAGCATTATTGTTTTTACGGTACTGAAACCGGTTTGTACTTGTTTACGTTCATGTATTAATTGGTTAAATTAGACGATAGATAATATATATTTGACAAAAGGATAAATTAGACTATATATTGTATAAAAATAGAATATTTATTATATCAAGCATTATATTTGGTATATTGTAATAAATAGACCAAATTACAAGACGCACTGTATTTTTTTAATAATTACTTGCTTTGCACGAGTTTAAAATCAATCAACTAAATTATACTNTATATATTGTATAAACATAGAATATTTATTATATCAAACATTATATTGGTATATTGTAATAAATAGACCAAATTACAAGACGCACTGTATTTTTTTAATAATTACTTGCTTTGCACGAGCTTATAATCAATAAATTAAATTATACTCAGTGGCGCGACAGCCCATAGAGGGTCAAGGCCTACTGTGACCATCTCAGTTTTCTTGACCTGGGGTTCAGGAGCAGATGTTCCAGTCCGTTTTTTGTTTTTCTTTTTATACTTCTTTCTTTATTTTGTTATTATGTGTTATTAACTTGTATCATATTTAATCTTTGTATTCTTTAAAAATATTGTGACTTTGTACAGATCTAAATTCTTAATAAATTCTTGCTGACTGGGCTCGTTCCTAGGCTGGAGTGGAGCCGGACCAGTAGCCAAGCTTTGGGCTATATGGTAAAGGGTCCATAATGACCTAGGTACATGTCCAAAGCTTGGAGAAAAGAAAAAAAANAAGATATTGGTACTTTAGCAGTTTGTTGCAGAAAGTCTGAAAAAATTCTGCCACATGGTTCTCAGTAATCAATCTGTATTCTGTTAATGGTATGAATTCTTTCTGGGGTACTTAAAACAGACTTTGCTCTAATATTGCTGTTCGGTTAACAATAACTTTCTGACCGAGCAAACACTTTTATCTTTCAGAAATACAATTATATAATATCATGCAATAATATTGATTGCAAATATTTTAGATGCCTCTCTAGTTTAAAAGTCATCAATTTCATTTGGTTCTAATTTTTCAGATTTAGGTAATGCTGCCAAGAAAGTGCGCTCTCATCGTTCCAGAGAGGAAATCATCCCAGTTTCAAAAAATGAGTTTGATTCTCTATTTGCAAAAGAGAATAAACCTCCAAGTTCATCACAAAGGGTATGTGTTTATTTTTCTTGAGATTTCTTCTCAATTTTTTTTCATTGTTTTATTAGTTTATAAAATTTTTTTTTAAAACTATGATATGTAGAATTTTATTAGCCATGAATATCATGTTTTGTAAATTCAGGAATGTAGCTTTTAGACAAGGAGTGAATTTGCTTCTCAAAAATAGATTTTTATCAATTCACAATAACAAAATACATTGTTATGAATATACTCGAGCAGTATCTGTACTATTTATGTTAATATTACTACTCTGTAGTGTTAAAAAGTAAAATATTTCATGTTATTAAAAAAAAGAATGGCATGATGATTGGCGAAATTTTATTGTGTAATTATGATTCCCTTCTCTCTCTCTCTCTCTCTCTCTCTGTTTTTTATTTTATTTTATTATTTTTTTTATTTAAAAAAAAACTTAAAATTGTTGTTTTAATATTTTGTATTTTAATTTTAATGTATTTTTTTAGTGACAATGAAATTTAACTAAGAATTTCCTTGGTAATCAAAACATTTATTATCCAACTTCGAAAAAAAAAAAGAAGCAAATTTGTACAAGCAAATTTTTGTTTCATTAGTATCCTAAATACAGCTAGTTGATTTGTTCTAAAATTATTTTTTTTATTTATAATTTGTCGATTTATTATTTTAAACAATTGGTAATTTTTTTTTTTTTTTAGAGTATTGCTATTGCAAATCTGCGTCATAGAAGAACATCTAGTTCTGGTGATGTGTGGGTAGAACATAAGCCGGTTGGAAATCTGGAGTTAGGTAATTGTATTAAATAATTGAAAAGCAAAGTAGATTCACCTTTTAAGTACTATTTTTTGGGGTAAAAATATTTATTGGAGAAAGTACTGTTATCAACAGGGGTTTCCAACTGGTGGCCCGGGGGCCACATCTGGCCCGTGAAGCCTTTTTTTGTGGTACACGAACTAAAATATATTAGTTGTCATTTTTTTGTGGACAATTTTCGTAAAAATTCTATATGGGTTTAAAATACTTGACTCTTTAATAAAAACCCAATTTCTTCGTTTTCGTGAAATTTATCATACGAACGGTACAAAAAAAATTATTTCTCAGGTCTTGCATCCAAGAAAATATTTATTCAAATACTAAAATAATCGTGTATATTGCTCTTTTTTATATCATTTTCTTGTATTTTGTGCATATAATTAAGCATGTGTATATCAGAAATTTTCTCGAAGAAATTCTCCGATTTAACTTTTTGAAACCATTCATTTTGGACGAAAATATTGACACACACATTTGTAAACTTTAAATTTAAAAAGTAAATATCTATTCTCTGGTGGTTGCAGCAGACAAACCTCAATTTTGTCATTGACCATTTTGTGTGCTACTATGTAAGTTTTAATACCAACCATTTTAAAGTTTTATATCTTGACAATTAGATATCTGTTGCACATTAATTGTTTAATACATGGGTGCGCATTAAAGTTATTGTAACCCGAATTTTTTAATATGCAGTAAAATATTTTTAAAAATCTACTTATTTTAATTTGAAATTTAATGCTTTTGTTTTGAACAAGTTGGAAAAAATCTGACACTAATATTTAATGTTCCTTCAAACATAAAAGAGTCCTACATGAAATTTTTATGAAGTTGCTGCCGGCCATTTGATTTGTGTTTTTAATTGTGGCCCTCGGCCTCATGTAAGTTGGAAATCCCTGGTATATATCATGGTTAATGAATTTACATAGAAAAAAAAAGACTTTAAAAAATGGCTTTCGCGAGTGAAAGTAATGCAGTTGATTTTTCAGATTATGAAAATGTGAACCTAAACAAAGACTAATATTTAACTTTTTTCATTTACCAGAGATAATTTCGAATAGTAAACAGATGGTAAATTAAATATATTTTGCACGTAAAAAAAAAAATTTAAATTTCAACTTAGAACTTTGTGTATTATGTTTTGTTTTAGTTCCTTGTATTTATTAATGAAATAAAAAAAATATGTTGATTTTTGCATTTTTTCCCCTTCAAAATAAATGGTAAGGGAAGAAGATAAGCGGTTAAGTGATGATTAAATTTGTTTGATGAATGATGTGAAATAAGAAAGATACAAATGCTTACCATAATGCCAGCAATAAAGTAAATATCCCTATTACAAATGTGACAAAGAGATGCTCCGACATACTTTGCGACTCTCCCTGCACAAAAAGATCTTTTCGAATTCGCTCGTTCGAAAGGGGTTCAGCAGTCGCCACATTCAAGAAGCACCACAAGTGATTTTTCACCCATCCATAAATATTGTTTCCTCTTCTCTTTCAAAGGGGGTTTAACCACTCTATAATGATGGAGGGGTCCAATAGGAGCAAAGGTCAGCAAGGTGTTTTTCTCGCCAAGAATCGAAGCTATAATTTAGTTTATGTCTACCCTCATGCAGTCTTTAGAAGGGGCACATCATTTAAATATTCTAAAAATCGACGAGATTTTTCGCCATTAGCGAATATTACCAAAATCGATGAATAACTTTTGAGCATTTTCAAGAGATAGTCGTTGCGGTAACTTTTTAAATCACTAAACACTTTTCTACTCCTTATTTCAGACCAGTGGCACAACCATCATAGGGTCTTAAGAATTGCGAACAAAGTTTTCCCCTTTTTTTTTTCTTTTTCTTTTTTTTTTTAAATTTTTGTGAATCATTAATCACTTTTCTTACCAATTATTTTGAAGAAAAAAAGATGCAAAAAATCATCATATTTTTTTTATTTTATTAATAAATACAAATAACTAAAACAAAACGTAATACACAAGTTCTAAGTTGAAATTTGAATTTTTTTTAATGAGTAAGAAACATTTAATTTACCATCAGTTTACTATCCCTAGTTTTCTCGGGCAAATGAAATAAGTTAAATATTGGTTTATGTGTGATAGTTCTTAAAACAAAAGATAACACAAAATGATACTTTTCAAACGCCAGTGAAGGAATACGCCATTTTTTTGTTGTTGCTCTTACTGCTGTGAAAATTCAGTAACCATCATACAATACAATCGCACAAAATACGTGTGCAGTCCCACAGTCAGACATCAAAACTCACAAATAAAACTTCCAATCACAGAAGATTATGTTTTTTGCTTCCTGCCGAATAAAAACGTGATAAAACAAAATGTACTGACACATTCTGCTATGCCCGAGTTAACTCGGGATGATCAGGGAAGTGGTTAAAGATGTAAGCATGAACGAACGGATCAAAACATTACTACACATAGTATCCGAAGCCAATAAAGCTGTTATGATTATTTTGTATTGAGACCTTGGGGCCAACAAAAAAAGAGTTTTGGCATGATTTGCGCATTTTATTTTGTTTTTTTCAAATGATGCCCTTCAAATGAAAATTTGCAAATGATTTTATGATATGAAGGATAGATGACATTTTACAAAATTAAAAATATCTCTATTAACTTGGGCGAATATCTGTAAATTTCACTTAACTTATTTTCGTATTTTTAAACGAAAACCGTTTTGATATGGTTTTAAAATGCTAAGCATTTTTTCGTTGTAACTTTAATGCTAAATTAATTTTGATTAAGACGAAGAGCCATAACATATTTTAAAGAGAATAGTTTAAATTTAGTTTTTATTCTTACTTATCTTTTTCTTTCTTTGTGCTCTAGATTTTTGAAGATTATTTGCTCACCATAAATTCCTTACATCGAAGGAATCCTCAAGTTTTTTTTTTGTTTTTCCCAAAACAATACCACATTAGAACTGCAGTAAAAAAGAATGTTCAATTAGTATATCGTAATGAATTGCAGCCTAGCCTTTAAATAAACTTAAAAGGAACAATAATTTTAAGGATAAAAGGTTTTACTTTATAAAATATATTTTTATAAGGTAAACACTACAGTATTAATACATAGAATTCTATAATAAGTACCTAGGATACTAAATATGTCTCTGTAAACAAATATCTAAAGATATTCCTGATATTTAAAAGTTTTTTACTAGATGTACATAATTTTTTTTTTTTTTTNTAATAATTTTTTTTTTTTTTGTAAATATAAATAACTCAAACAAAAAAAGTATTTTTTACTTACAAGTTATTCTGTTGTACTTTAGTTAAACAACTTGCGCTACATTTTATTAAGTAACTTATGCTGTTAAATAGCTTGTGTTTATTGTTGTGCTTTTGTTTGTTATATAATTGCAATCAATATAATTATATTTCTTTATTTAGTTACAGAGAGTATCATGAATATTTCATATTAATCACCCTTAATTCTAAGAAATTTCGTCGAAACTGGAAACAAAAAATAATACACATTAAGAATCGCAATTTAATTTTCAAGCAAAGAAAAACGAAATCGCTATCGAAATTCAACAAATTACTACTAGCGAAGATGAGACTATTAACATCGGGAAAAATATCAGATCATTATTAGCAAGCTTCGTCAGGTAATTAAACTGGTTTTGATCATTTTCACAAAGACTTTCTCACTATTAGTTTGACAGATTCCGACAGTATGTTTGCTTTTTACTCCTTCGAAAATTTGTGATCCCAATGCGTTTAATTTTGTACTAAATTTCTGACAATCATTTTAAAACTATATATTTGGGGGAGTGATTACAGAACACCTTACAATTCAAAGTTAGTATCTAGGACGTTAAAATTAAGTTCATTAGTTGACAATTAAGTTAAATTAAACAGAGAAAATTAAGTTATGCTCTGCCGTATTCTATGTGTTAAATAAACAATTTTTAAGAAAATCTTGAAAAATCACCAAAAAATAATTTATGCTGTTGAATAATTGCATTTCGTTAGTAAAATATTTCAAATGTAATTGACAGTTATTTGTGAGTTTTAAAAATTTAATTATAGAACGTTAAAGGCGAAATTACCATGATATTTAATTTTTTTAAAACAAACTCCAATAATTGGCTAGATCTTTATAATTACTTTCCCAAAGGATCATTAAAATGAATGTGATTAAATTTTAAAATAATTGAAATGAATATGAAAGTAGTTTTCGATACTCTTATTCGGTGGAATAAAATATCTAAATTGTTTTAAAATTACAAACACAATGTTAAGGAGATTAATTAAACACTAGATAAAGAAGGGACTTACGTTAGGAACTCAACAATGCGCCGCTTAAATAGAATTTTTTTTATTTTTTAAACCAATTTACACTAATACGAAACGGGGACAAAAGCAATTGTTTGAAAATTGTAACGATGGCGAAATATAGTAGCACATGTGAAGTAGTCTTAGCACAATTCGTTTGTTCGAAGCGGAATTCATTTGAACAAAATATTCTAGTTATTTTAGTGATTTCAGTTTTTTTTTCTTTTCTTTTCAAAATTTGTTGAAAACTTACAGCATTGGAATTGTAAAACAAAGAAATGTACAGTGTGCAAAAATAAAGATATTACTCTGAATTTCTTTCGTTCTAATGATAAAAAAGAAACATTTTGATAATAATTAATCATAGTTAAATTATGACTTATTTGATAAAATACTAATGATATATACTAATGAAATACCTTATATAATGAAATTACGCAAAATACTTAAAAAAATTTATTAGAAATGAGTTAAATATGAGTTAAACTTCGAAACAGGGCTCAAAGCAAAATTCTACCATGCAATCTTTAGATCTAATTCACGTTTCTTTTTTCCAAATTTTTTTTCTTCAAATTTTTTTAGGCAACAAACAGCACATTTTAATAAAAGCGCGTAAAATGTTGAAAAACATGCTTGCATTTTCTCAGAAATTTACTCAACTAGTGCCATCCAGTTATAACGGATTTTTATAAGCAATAAAACATCGAAAGACGAAATTAAACCACGATTGGGAAAAAAGCGGGTTACACAGTTAATTAGACTGGAAAAATACATTCCCTCGGAAAACGAGAATTGCGCAAATTTTGTTACTTCTACTTTGATTGTAAAATTCGAGGGACACGCAATGAGAGGGTTAAAAACTATTACCTGAAAATACCTTTTACAACTTGTTTTCCTCAAATTTCTTAATATTTAATAATAATGTAGTAAATAAATATTTTAGTGACGAAAAACACTGAATATATCTATATATACATAAATCAGAAATTAAACAAGTTAAGCAAAAACGCAAAAATTCAAGAAAAGTACAAAATAAAACAAAAATTCAAGTTCTTGAATTATTTCTTTTTTGCTTTATTTGTTGCATTTTTTTTTTTTTTGGTGTTTTTCACACTATTGTACTTATATATTTTGCTTGCATTGATGCAATATTAGAGAGCACTATTTTAAGGTTAAAGTCGTGTGAGCTGACGACAAGATCATATCTTTTCATTGCTTTGTTTTCTGGTTTTTATAAACTTATAAAAACTAATAAAATTTTATTAATTTGCTAAATTTGTCAAATTTTAATTATTTTCATATAATTTTTTTCTCTCTTTTAAAAATTGTTCTTCCTTACTTTTGTTTCTTTCCTTTTTTTTTTTTTTTTTTTTTTTTTTTTTTTTTTTGTATATTTATCTTACAATATGGGTTCTATACATTTGTAGCTTATGTGCAGATGGAGGAAAAAAAAAACTTACTAATTCTTAAATTCTTAATTTTTCATTGTAAATTTAGTTTTTCTTTAATTCTTTATTGTTTTTTCCAACATAAGTAACATAATATAAAAATATTTTGTTCCTTTATAGTTCGTTTTACGTTATAATTATTCTTTGACAGCTAACTCAAATCTGGAATGGTTCTTTTATTGACGTTCGAAATTATACTGATCTTTATAATCAATGTCAAATAAACAAGAACTAATTTTTTAAAGATTTCGGTTTCAAATTCTGAAATTTGGTTAACGGTTGCAATTAATTTCTTTAAAAAAAATATATTGCTTTTTGAAACGGTTATTTAAAATTAACTGCCAGTTATTCTTCAGCAGAGAAAAAGTTCAACGAAAATAAGTAGTCGAAAGCGTACTGGCTCCGAAACTAAAAATAAAAGTGCGGCAAAGTATTGTTGCTTTTTTGCTTTTTAAGAAAAAAGTCCTGCTTAAGTAAGATAATATTTTTGAGATTATTTTTTTTATTTTGTCTGGTTATAGTTTTAACTTATGAACTGTGCTACAAATACTCGTTCAATTCCAGAGATAAAAATGCAGCTTTCTAGGAGGATTTCTCTTTTAAGTTTAATTAAGAATTTGCTATATCGTGATAAGCAGTAGCCCCCACCCCCCCCAAGCTCTTGGGCACATTCTCGGGCAAATTCTAAATTCCCCCCCAAACTATTCGTTTTATTTAGTGTAAAAATTCCCCCCCAAGCTTTAAGTGGGCGCATCCTGGTGATAAGTTACGAAATTCTTTGGCAGAAGGAATCAAAGAAAGACTTGGCAGCCAAGGTGCAGCTAAAAAATTTAAAAAAGCCAGTGATGATGAGGAGGATGAATGTGAAAGAAGTGCACTTGAAGATGAATTAACTCTTATGGATGATCTGAAATAGAAAATGCGAGATAGAAATAGAAAATATTCTAACTCATTTTGTATGACTGCGTATAACTCATTTTGTGTGACTGTAATATGTGCATTTTTTTAAACTCATTTTATGTTGTGTGTATGGATGTGGTGAGTCGGNGGAGGATGAATGTGAAAGAAGTGCACTTGAAGATGAATTAACTCTTATGGATGATCTGAAAGAGAAAATGCGAGCTGAATCTCCAGAATTAATAGGTGCAGGAGAAGTTAAACAACTTTTTTTTCTGCTTAATTCAAATAATTTAGAATTAATTTACACTTTTATTACTAGCAAGTGAAAATTCATTTCGTTGTTTTCTTATGATAAAACATTAAAGAAATTAGTCAGCGTTACACGTTTATAGATTCTTTGGAAAGATTTCCGTATTGTGATCTGTGGCTGAATAATCGTCAAGTCTTGGACACTTTCGGAGCGAGAACAAAAGAAACGCGAGAAACAAAGAAATAAAACATTAAAATTAAGAATTAATAGGGTTTTTTTTTGTTGCGCTTTTCATAGATGAAGGTTGACATTGTCAATAATGACTCTTTCCACATATATATTTATATTAGTTCTTTAAGTATTTGTAACATTTTTAAATTCTTTTTCCTCTCCAGGAGAAGTTGTTGATTCCATTTCTAATATCAAATGGTCACGTCCACCTCCCCCAGCCTATAGATCCCTAGAAAGATTCTATTGTGTTTCAACAACTTGATATATAAAAGTTGGACCTGTGCCAATCATGAGGATGTTTAGTGTATCAATGGAAGGTATTTTATGCCACATTCATGGATTTCTTCCTTATTTTTTTGGGCCAGCACCACCTGATTTCCAGCTATCTGACTGTGCTATGTTTGGGGTATATTTACCTTTTTTTTATTTTTTCACAATCTGATTTTCAGCAATCCAACTGTGCTATGTTTAGGGAATGTTTTACCAGTTTTTTTTATCTTTATGTCTCAAGGTATTTGATCTAAAACCATTATTTGATGTCAAAAAGCTTACCCTGGAATATTAGTTATAATTCCTCAAAGTTTAAGCATCGTTAAAATGTAATTTTTAACAAATCTATTTACAACTTATTATTGCCTTAGTTTTACATTTTCTATTATACTGTAATGTGTCTCAAATCTTGTTTAAGTTGATAAAACATTACACAGAACTTAATACAAAGCTCTCTGAAGTATAGGGCAATGCAGGGCTAAAGAGAATAGAAGGGCTAGTTCACTCCACTCTTAGAACTGAAGCTACAATTTCCCTCCTCATGACGTCACTGTGTCCACAGATCTCGGAGATTGCAAGCAAAGATCGGAGCGGAGATCGCTTTCACACTTTACGTAATTAACACATTATTTCCATTCATAAGCATAGTTTAAAAAAAACTTTCTTGGCCATTATATTAAAAAAGTATCATTTTAAATTATTATTAATATTTTACTAGTTGGCGAAAATGACACTATAAATACTTTATTTTAAAAAGTTCAGTTTTAACTTTAATTATTAAAAAAAATGAAAGCATATATCGATACTTTTTTATCTACATATTCTTTTATAATATTTTTTTTTATCTTTATCACCATCTGATGTCCAACAATCTGACTATGCTATGGTTAGGGTATATTTAATTTTTTTTTATCTTTATCGCCACCTGATTTCCAGCAATCTGACTGGTATGTTTAGGATATATATTTGCCTTTTTTACTTATCTATGTCTTAAGGTGTTTGATAAAAAACCATTATTTAATGTCAAAAAGCTAACCCCTGTAATATTAGATAAAATACCTTGAAGTTAAGCATCATTAAGAGGTAATTTTTAACAAATATATTTAGAAATTCTAAACTTATTATTGCCTTAGTTTTACATTTTCCAATAAAACTCTAATGTGTCTCAAATCTCGTTTAAGTTGATAAAACATTACACAGAACTTAATACAAAGCTCTCTGAAGGATGAGGCAATGAACGTTAATTTGGGATAAGCACTTGAAAATCACAATGCACTAGTCTTTAAATACTTGTTAGTATAATTTCAAATAGTATCTAATCTTGATAATTTTCATGTGTAGACAGTCAAATGTACTGAATTAGTTATATTCATATTGATTTGTTTACGTTATGCTTTTAGGAAACTCTTAATCGAGCTGTAGTTGCTGACATGAAATCCAATAATGCTATTTTAGCTGTTGAAATTGTCCAAAAAGAGAGTAAGCTAAATTTTGTTCTCTTTAACTTTTTTTTTTGTTGTATGATCTATTGAAAATATTTATCCATTTACCTTACATATTATAGATATTTATGGTTTCACAAAAGCTGGAAAAATTCCATTTTTGAAAATAACTGTATTGCTGCCGAGACTACTCGCAGCTCGTAATCGCCTATTGGGTCGGTCAATTCAGTTTGGACGATTTGGAATCNTTAACTGTGTCATTTCGGAATCCATTCTTTACATAGTTGTTCATTTACTTTAGGGAACACGCGGAAAATTATATTTTTTCCTTTTGTTTTTCTATCAAAATTTTTTCAGGTTGCAATCGCGCAAACTGGCATTTCGATAATAGTTTTAAATTCTTGTAAATTCGCTGCAAAAACTGAGGAAAGTCATTATAAAAAATAACAAATGTCTAAGAATATCTCACAAAAAGAAATGCTCCAATATTAGTTAGAGCTAGTAAGGCCAAAAGCTCCGTTCTTGAAGTAAAAGTGTGAGCTTTGCGCCATAGTGACGTCACTGGAGAAAATCGGAGGATTGGCGCGGCGAGAGCTACTTCAAAGGAGTGAACCAGCCCTTCTATTCTCTTTAGCCCTGGAGGCAATGTACCTTAATTTGGGATAAGCACTTGAAAATCACAATGCACTAGTCTTTAAATATTTGTTAGTATAGTTTCAATAGTATCTAATCTTGATAATTTTCATGTGTAGACAGTAAACTGTACTAAATTAGTTCTGTTCTTATTATTAATTTTCTTATGTTATGCTTTTAGAAAACTCTTAATCAAGCTGTAGTTGCTGACATGAAATTCAATAAATATTGCCAATACCATTTTAGCTGTTGTCCAGTAAGCTAAATTTTTTTTCTCTTTAACTTTTTTTGTTGTATGATCTATTGAAAGCATTTATTCATTTCACATGCATTTTGTAAATATTTATGGTTTCAACAAAGCTGGAAAAATTCCATTTTTGAAAATAACTGTTTTGCTGCAGAGACTACTAGCAGCTTGTAATCGCCTATTGGGTCAAACAATTCAGTTTGGACAATTTGAACTCCTTACTTTGGATTATTTAGGGACACTTATATTGATATTGAAATAAGGTAGAAATTATGAATTATTAAACTGTATTACCATGCTTTATTTAATTTTCTACACAAACTGAGTAGACTCAGTGTGACACATTTTTTCGTCCAATGCAGAAACTGTGCTCACCTAAATTACGTTAAGGTTTACGCAAATTTTTGTTGTATGATCTATTGAAAGCATTTATTCATTTCACATGCATTTTGTAAATATTTATGGTTTCANTATTTGATACTATTGGGCAAAATCGAGAGAGGCTGTGGCGTAACTACCGCTATAAATATTAAATACCAATTCACTAGTGTATGAAACACTTGATTCTATCTTGAGGTACCTTTTGATAGATTCCCCATCATGATGACTTAATATGAAAAATGGCAATTAAAAAAAAAATAGCATATTAATTGCTATCTATTTTTATTTTTTTTTGTCAAAAATACAATTCATTTACATTTTATTATTATTATTTTTTAATAAATATAAATATTTTATAATCTGAAAATTACTTTCGTTCTCACTTGTTTTTTTTTAAAAAAAAAATAATTCAGAAATAACCGTTGTAATGTTTTTCATATTTTGAGAAATGTTTATAAAAATATGCCTTACATTATTAATATTAGTAGGTTTTTTTTAATGGTTTGAAGTTTTAGATTTTTTTTAAAAAAAAAATTACAAATTTAAAAAAAAGTCCATTGTTAAAAATGCCACTGACCAGTAGCAAAATTTACTAATTATTACCTATATTATATATATTTTATTAATTTGATTTTTCTTTTAGGTTTATGGTTGACACAAAAGTAGTTGGCTGCAACTGGATTNTAGATTTTTTAAAAAAGAAAAATTACAAATTTAAAAAAAAAAATGCCACTGACCAGTATCAAAATGTACTAATTATTACCTATATTATTTTATTAATTTGATTTTTCTTTTAGGTTTATGGTTGACACAAAAGTAGTTGGCTGCAACTGGATTGAAGTGCCATATCTTATTGTCATCTACTTCATCTTCCCGCTGCCAAATTGAATTAAACATGGCATGGAATGATTTCATAGCACACGAACCAGAAGGAGAATGGTCAAAAATTGCACCTGTTCGTATATTGAGTTTTGATATTGAATGTGCTGGACGAAAGGGTAAATTTTCTTTCGATACCTTTAGTTAGTTCACCAGAAGTTGGCTCCGTCTTCATCGTGTGGTATCCGACGATACTTTTTTGCAATTTTGTGGGAGAAGGATGCGAACAATCCTGAACAAGGTTGCTGTTTGGCTATCGTATGACAAAAATATTTATTTCGCAATCTTCATGTGCATTTTCTTTTCACATTAAATATTTCAAAACTTTGATGATATTTCTCTCTTCTGAATAATTTGTCCTTTTTGAGACATTTTGCTGCAATTTATATTTAATTAGCTATAGTAATGAAAGGTATAATAGCAGACAATAAAGCGAAGAAAGTGATTGAAAAAAGAATTCATTGTTTGCGTCTGGCGCACATTAAGGGTTGTTTTGATTTCTCCTCTTAGTTCCGCACTGAAATGAACTCTTCGTACAAGGAGGTGGAGCAAAATGCCAACTCCGGGTGAACAAATTATACCTTCTTACATTTGTTATTACCATGCTTTATTTAATTTTCTACAGAAACTGAGTAGACTCAGTGTGACACATTTTTTCGTCCAATGCAGAAACTGTGCTCACCTAAATTACGTTAAGGTTTACACAAATTTTTGTTGCGTTATATGTGCATTTTTTTAAACTCATTTTATGTTATGTGTATGGGTGTGGTGGGTCGGGTATTCTAACTCATTTTGTATGACTGTGTATTTCTCATTTCGTATGACTGTGTATAACTCATTTTGTGTGACTGTAATATTATGAGCATTTCTTAAAACTCATTTTATGTTGTGTGTATGCATGTGGTGGGCCGGGTATTCTAACTCATTTTGTATGACTGTGTATTACTCAATTCGCATGACTGTGTATAACTCATTTTGTGTGACTGTAATATTATGTGCATTTTTTTAAACTCATTTTATGTTGTGTGTATGGGTGTGGCGGGTCGGATATTCTAACTCATTTTGTATGACTGTGTATTACTCATTTCGTATGACTGTGTATTGCTCATTTTGTGTGACTAATATTATGCGCATTTTTTTAAACTCATTTTTTGTTGTGTGTAGGGGTGTGGCGGATCGGGTATTCTAACTCATTTTGTATGACTGTGTATTACTCATATCGTATGACTGTGTATAACTCATTTTGTGTGACTGTAATATTATGTGTATTTTTTAAAACTCATTTTATGTTGCGTGTATGGGTGTGATGGGTCGGGTATTCTAAATCATTTTGTATGACTGTGTATTTCTCATTTCGTATGACTGTGTATAACTCATTTTGTGTGACTGTAATATTATGTGCATTTTTTTAATCTCATTTTATGTTGTGTGTATGGGTGTGGTGGGTCGGGTATTCTAACTCATTTTGTATGACTGTGTATTACACATTTTGTATGACTGTGTATAACTCATTTTGTGTGACTGTAATATTACGTGCATTTTTTTAAACTCATTTTTTGTTGTGTGTATGGGTGTGGTGGGTCGGATATTCTAACTCATTTTGTATGACTGTGTATTTCTCATTTCGTATGACTGTGTATAACTCATTTTGTGTGACTGTAATATTATGTGCATTTTTTAAACTCATTTTATGTTGTGTGTATGGGTGTGGTGAGTCGGGTATTCTAACTCATTTCGTACGACTGTGTATTACTCATTTCGTATGACTGTGTATAACTCATTTTGTGTGACTGTAATATTATGAGCATTTTTTTAAACTCATTTTATGTTGTGTGTATGCGTGTGGTGGGTCGGGTATTCTAACTCATTTTGTATGACTGTATTTCTCAATCGTATGACTGTGTATAACTCATTTTGTGTGACTGTAATATTATGTGCATTTTTTTAAACTCATTTTATGTTGTGTGTATGGGTGTGGTGGGTCGGGTATTCTAACTCATTTTTTTGTATGACTGTGTATTACTCATTTCGTATGACTGTGTATAATTCATTTTGTGTGACTGTAATATTATGTGCTTTTTTTTAAAATCATTTTATGTTGTGTGTATGGGTGTGGTGGGTCGGGTATTCTAACTCATTTCATATGACTGTGTATAACTCATTTTGTGTGACTGCAATATTATGTGCATTTTTTTAAACTCATTTTATGTTGTGTGTATGGGTGTGGTGGGTCGGGTATTCTAACTCATTTTGTATGACTGTGTATTTCTCATTTCGTTTGACTGTGTATTGCTCATTTTGTGTGACTGTAATATTATGTGCATTTTTTTAAACTCATTTTATGTTGTGTGTATGGGTGTGGTGGGTCGGGTATTCTAACTCATTTTGTATGACTGTGTATTTCTCATTTCGTATGACTGTGTTTAACTCATTTTGTGTGACTGTTATATTATGTGCATTTTTTTAAACTCATTTTTTGTTGTGTGTATGGGTGTGGTGGGTCGGGGGTTCTAACTCATTTTGTATGACTGTGTATTTCTCATTTCGTATGACTGTGTATAACTCATTTTGTGTGACTGTAATATTATGTGTATTTTTTAAAACTCATTTTATGTTGCGTGTATGGGTGTGGTGGATCGGGTATTCTAACTCATTTTGTATGACTGTGTATTACTCATATCGTATGACTGTGTATAACTCATTTTGTGTGACTGTAATATTATGTGTATTTTTTAAAACTCATTTTATGTTGCGTGTATGGGTGTGATGGGTCGGGTATTCTAACTCATTTTGTATGACTGTGTATTTCTCATTTCGTATATCTGTGTATAACTCATTTTGTGTGACTGTAATATTATGTGCATTTTTTTAAAGTCATTTTATGTTGTGTGTATGGGTGTGGAGGGTCGGGTATTCTAACTCATTTAGTATGACTGTGTATTTCTCATTTCGTATGACTGTGTATTACTCATTTTGTGTGACTGTAATATTATGTGCATTTTTTAAACTCATTTTTTGTTGTGTGTATGGGTGTGGTGGGTCGGGTATTCTAATTCATTTTGTATGACTGTGTATTTCTCATTTCGTATGACTGTGTTTAACTCATTTTGTGTGACTGTAATATTATGTGCATTTTTTTAAACTCATTTTATGTTGTGTGTATGGGTGCGGTATGTCGGGTATTCTAATTCATTTTGTATGACTGTGTTTTTCTCATTTCGTATGACTGTGTATAACTCATTTTGTGTGACTGTAATATTATGTGCATTTTTTTAAACTCATTTTATGTTGTGTGTATGGGTGTGGTGGGTCGGGTATTCTAACTCATTTTGTATGACTGTGTATTTCTCATTTCATATGACTGTATATTACTCATTTTGTGTGACTGTAATTTTATGTGCATTTTTTTAAACTCATTTTATGTTGTGTGTATGGGTGTGGTGGGTCGGGTATTCTATCTCATTTCGTATGACTGTGTATTGCTCATTTCGTATGACTGTGTATTACTCATTTTTTTTAAACTCATTTTATGTTGTGTGTATGGGTGTGGTGGGTCGGGTATTCTAACTCATTTTGTATGACTGTGTATTTCTCATTTTGTGTGACTGTAATATGTGCATTTTTTTAAGCTCATTTTATGTTGTGTGTTTGGGTTTGGAGGGTCGGGTATTCTAACTCATTTTGTACGACTGCATATAACTCATTTTGTGTGGCTGTAATATGTACATTTTTTAAAACTCATTTTATGTTGTGTTGGATGGCATGTCTTCGGATCATCCTCAGGTTTGTTTCCCAGACCATCGTCAATAGCCCATTGTGCAGCTCTAGTGCGATGTGAATGAACAACAACAAAACACGTTCAAATAAATTATTTAAATTTTATGTCTCTACATATACTCCCCTACCAGTAACGAACGTTACGTTACTAGTAGGAGAAATGCATAGTAAAATTCAGGTTTTGAATCTTATTGGCGTCTTTATGCATGTGTGAATTCTATGCAATAAGAACGCTCCCTAAAGAAGAAAGCGATGCAGCTCGGCAGCTGAGGATACGAACTATTTTTGAGTTGGGGCTCTTATTGTTGGCAGCAAAGTGAATTTCTGATTTGTAAATACGCCAGCCTGTGACGGCAGATCGAGTTTAGCCTTGGTAAATATAAACACATTTTGCCTCTCGTAAACGTGTGTTGACAATGTCTACGAAACAGCTAAGTGGTCACGGTAAAAGAAAATTGAAGAAAAAACGAAATGATGGACAATTTTCTAGATAAAAATCCTACTGAGACTGAAAACGTACAGAATGCAAAGGAAGTTTCCATAACAGATAAAGTAGAACTTGAAGCAGATGCCTTTGAACACATTTCTGGTACATCAGAATTTGATGAGGTTTGTGAAAAATCATCCCCGGTTTGTAAAGGAACTGGTTTTGTTGAAGAAGAAATAACTACATTTAATCAGCACGTAGATGATCCATCAAACCTGTCTGAGCATTCATGTAAATCAAATAATTCATATTATAGTTATGTTGGTTTATGGCCTGAAAGTTTTTCAGATAATTTTCGGGAATACTTTGTATTGAACAAACCTGAACAGAACATTCAATTAATTGCCAACTCTAGATGTATGATTGGAAACAAAGAAAGAGTTTTGACTGAGGCAAGTTTTTTCAGAAAAAAGAAAAATAATGAATTACTCAAAAGAGAATGGCTGGTTTTCTCACCAGCAAAAAATGCAGTGTTTTGCTACATATGTAAACTATTCAGTGCTAGTGACAAATCGCTTTGCAAAGGAGGCTTTTCTTATTGGAAAAATACTTCAGAGAGGTTAAAAGAGCATAAGAACTCAATGGTTCACAGGAATTCTGTGCTTGCTTTATCTCAAAGGTTAACCTCTTCTATGAGAATTGATAGCAAGCTAGTGGAAGAATATGCAAATGAACGGTTGTATTGGCGAAAAGTGCTAGCTCGAATTGTTGCAACAACTCAGTTTCTTTGCCAACGTGGGTTAGTATTTTTTGGAAGAGACGAGACGATTGGTTCATTTCACAATGGTAATTTTCTTTGCATTCTTGAATTATTGGGCAAGTTTGACCCTTTTTTAGCTGAACATTTAGCTAAATATGGAAATACGGGGACTGGCAATGTAAATTACTTGTCTTCTACAGTTGTTACTGAATTAATCAGCATTATGAGTCAGAAGGTACTCAATAGAATTGTAACAGAAGTACAAACTTCTAAATATTATGGATTAATTGTAGACTCAACGCCAGACATCACACACAACGATCAGCTTTCAATTGTGCTATGTTACGTGGATAAAAGTGGTAGACCATTGGAAAGGTTTGTCAAGTTTTTAAACATTTATAGTCATGACTCCCTCACTCTATGCACAGTTATAACTAGTTTCTTAGAAAATTTAGGGGTTGATATTAAAAATTGTAGAGGCCAGTCATACGACAATTCCAGCAATATGTCTGGAAAATACTCAGGCCTTCAAGCTCGAATTAAAGAGACTTCTCCTACAGCAGAATATATTCCATGCTCTGCTCACTCTTTAAATTTGGTTGGAGTAGCAGCTGTCGAGTCTTGTGAACAGGCTATTTCTTTCTTTGGCCTGATCCAGAGTATTTATAATTTCTCCTCAGCATCGACCCATAGATGGGCTATTTTGTCCAAAAAATTAAAAAATAAACTCACTGTTAAGTCCCTTAGTATAACAAGATGGTCTGCTGCTGCAGAAGCTACAAAGTCATTGCAGGAAGGATATTATGCAAGCTTTGTGTGAAATTTCAAGTAGTTCGAGTGAGACCAGTTCAACAAAGTGTGATGCAAAATCATTGTATGAAAAAATTGGATAAACGACAAACAGCAGTTTTGGCTGTCTTGTGGGACACTATTTTGTAGCGTCTAAATAAAGTTAATATCCAGCTGTAAGCAACAGATGGAAATGTAAGCATTATCATACCTTTATTTGATTCAATTATAAAGTTTATTCAATGTATCAGAGATGATTTTGATACATATGATTCTAAAGCTTCACAATTAGTTAATTGTGAATTGTTTTTAAATAATTTGAGTAAAAATGATT